TGTGTGCTGCTGCTTTTCTTGGTTTCATTCCGATTTCCTTTTAACAAAGAAAAGTATGCTAATCCCCTCATGTCAACCTGACTGTGGAGACTGCCATGGTAATAAACACGGGAGTGACAGCAACAACAAACTCCTCTGAATATGCGCAGTCATCACGGTCACGTGGCATGTCATTATAAACTTTTGGGGGATTTTGGATGATTTCAGTGGGTCAACAAGTTTGAGGCTGTAGGTTAGCTGAAAGGCAGGTGAATATCCTGTAAACAACATTATCACTGAGTTAGCAAAAATATGGAGTTACTTCTAAATCAAGCAGGTAAAAGAAATACAACAAGGCAATGCTGACAAATTTCAGTAACAGAGTGATTTTGACCTAATTCACATAAAAATTAATTAGCTCTAATATTAAACAATATTAAAAACACCTGATCGCACAGAGGTATGGAGTGGAACGCATGATATTAATGGCTTAACGGGGTATATTGGGCTTAAAATCAAAGTTTTCATTGGATCAGAAGTGATACGGTAACTTATGCTGGACACAGGCTAGACTGAAGCAGGTTATGCTCAGAGTTTTGATTTAAAAGTCAGCTGCAAATACCACATTTTGACGAAAACTTTTAACTATGCTTTTAATTATAACTATGAACCATATTCAGTCAAAAAACTTTCACTTTGTGAAAATGATATTTGTGTCTTTTTAATGAGTCCAACCTGAATCCATCAAGATTTAATGTTTTTCATACATCAAATGAACCGTTTCTGAGTTCTAATGGGCATCTGTAAGAGGGGGAAATCCATCAATCAATCCACTGAGAGGTAAAATACTTGTATTAACTTATTAATTCACAACAAATTTGCATTATTAGCTTTGCTTTTATTTATAAAGCTTATACAGTTAACAAACAGGAATATGGTTGCCATGAAAAGTTGCCATCTTTGGGTTCGTGGTTTAACTTAAAGCACAGTGCATCCTGCCTCCATCTCAGGTACAGTGGCATATATATCCCCCCAGAAATCTCACTCCTTCATGTTATAAAATGGGAGGCAAGTGAAGAAAAAAAAAACTATATGTAAATAAGTAGACCATACAATATCTCACTTCTTAAAAAACTAACATAATACTATACAGACATTGTGTTTAAACAGCAGCCCTACACAAAGGTAAGCTGTGAAAACCTGTTTGTCCCTTTCCGATATCATTCAAAGACACAAGTACCTTTCACGCAGAGGGGTAAAAATCTTCCTGCACCTCAGAGGAGCACTGCCAGGTTGCAGCAGCTGCTTCAAACAGCTATGAATCAGGCTATCAAATTCAGAGCCTTTTGAGAAGAGAAGCATTGGTGTAGGCCTCTGTCACTAGCAGATGGGGCAGATTTAGGCTTTGGATAGAGAATTGGTGGTGGTTTGGGTTAATCTTGTGCCTTAGGCTTTACAGACACTTTTGGACTGAGGAAAATATGTGAATGTAATTTGATTAATTATTTTGACCCTTGTCCATCAGTCGCTAGACCGCTGTCAAGCAAGATTTCAGCTTTGCAAACTTTAGTCTGCAGCTGTGTGCAATCAAACATTATTGCAATGGAATAATAATTACAAAAATCGTTAGCTTCATAGCATAAGTGCCTAAGTCATTTTTTGGTCAAATTGAAAATATCAATTAAAAATATGCATGTGATATTTAGAAAATTAGTTTTTTCTTGTTTTCCGAAAACACAAAAAAATGACTTAGGCACTTATGCTATGAAGCTAACGAATTTGTATCTTTAAGACAGTAAATTGGTATGAGGAGTATAAGATCGCTTTTCACTTCCAATTCCTATAAGATGATAAAAACAATTTTGCCACAGAAGTATGGATAAAGAATATGTCCACGTATCTGAGATGTTATTGATTGGTGCTGGACAAATTTATCCATTCATTCATCAGCCAAACACGTCTACTCATTGCAGTCTGTCTCTAATGTGGATAAAACTCCTGATGTGTTTGTTCCAGTGCTTTGTTGCAGTTGTAGTTTACTTACTCAAAACCTTCTGTCCAGTTCCCAAACCAGCTCGATGGAGTTTAAGTCTGGAGAAATCATTTGAAACCTACTGTTTTTCTAGTCTTGGTTTAGGATAAAGTCCTGACCTGAAAGTCTATCCTTTGTTGCTTTACCTTTTCTCACAATTCACAACAGCACAGACTACAGCACTAGCTTAATAATACATCAGCGAGTGTAGTGGTCACACTGCCATTATACAGACAGATGATAACTTAACTTGAATTGCTTCAACTTCAATTTTAAAAAGGGGGGGAAACTGTGATGTCCTAAAGCTTTTGACATCAGTAAGCCACTTTGTCATCCCTTACACGTCCAAATACGCCTACTCCTATCTACAAATAACCAAAACAATCCCAAATATCAAAAAACAATCCAAAACAAATGTGCTCAAACTATCAATACCTCAATAAGAATAATATACACTCACTAGTCACTTTATTAGATACACATGTTCAACTTCTCATTTGCCCAAAATATCTAATCCGCTAATCACACGGCAACAACTCAATCCATTTAGACATAGACAATGGCTGATCTCCTGAAGTTCAGACCATGCATCAGAATGCGGTAGAAAGGTGATTTATTCCTACAGAATCACAAAATTGGATAATATAGGGTTTGTAAAATACTGCATGGTTTGATGAGTATTAATTTCTGTTTCAACATTTGGACAGTGTGATCAGAACTTGCTGAAAATAAAATACAAACCACCTCATATCACCAGTTCAGGCTGCTGGTGGTGCTTTAACCCTGGAGAACCCATGGGGTCATATTTGACCCCATGGTTTCCCTAGTAAACCAATGGGGTCGGATCTGACCCCATGGGTGCTCCAGGGTTAATGGTGTTATGGGATAATGGGAATATTTTCTTTGCACATGCCCTTGGACGCTGAGTAAACACCACATCCTACCTGACCATTGTACCCAACTTCTTAATACACTGGTTTCCTGAGCATAACAGTGAGTTCACTTAACTCAAATGTTCTCCACAGCCATCAAATCTTGAGATGTAGTTCATAAAACACAGTGGTGTTTGGACTGGATCTAAGCCAAAACACCACTTTTGGATTGGTGTGGAATGGGAGCATGACATCATGGATGTGCAGCCAATAGAGAAAATCAAGAATTAAGGCAATTCTGAAGGTAAAACAGGTCCAACCTGGTATTGCGTCAAAAAGCGATTAGGGAAAAAATAAAACTGAATTGAACTGAACAGTTTAAATATGTATATCATTTTTTGATATGACTCATTTACTAGCAAAGTGTCTAAAAACAGGGGCTGTGAATGTAATTGGTATTCAGTTTAGTCTGGAGTAAGTCTGATACCATTCAGGTGTAACAGTATCTCATTTGCTTTTTGTTCAAGTCATGTAATGAGCCTGTAATGAAGCCATAAAATACTGATGCCCACGCTCAACCAACCGATCAACTTAAAACAAGATAGCAGAAAGAAACACTTCCCTTCCTGAGGAAGTACAGGTTAGGAGACTCACAACAGGAGAGGACTCATTTAAAACAGATCATAACTTATATTCAAGCACAATTTAACAATAATGGGCAAATAAAGACACATTTAAAGACTTTCCTTTAAAAAATACTTCACTCTGTCATACCTTGGCTATGATAGGTCCAGACGATTACTTTAAAGGCAAAAAACTACAAAAAGAATTTACATAAAGAACCATTAAGATTATTGTGTTAGCACAACTACAACTGAAGAACAATTTATGCTTAAAAAAATGCAACCTTTCATTTTATAAATTTCTGTTATATATTTAAAAAAAACAAAAAAATTGTATCTGTCCAACTTCAAAATCAAAAATACACTTTTTATAAGATATTTTAGTTACTGTATGCTATGCTTGGCACAACCCTGCTGCCAATACTTCAGTCTGGAAACGTTGATTTTAAAAGTATTATTCAATAAATCTTTGGCCATTAGATTAAAGATAGTCACCCTCATACTAAATACTCATTAAATTAAGACTTAATTTATGTTAACTTAAGCAACTTAAAATCTATCTTAACCAACCTTTCAGTAGTCAACCCTTATTAGGAATTTCAGCATTTATTTTGAAATCTTAAAAATACTATTCATTACAAAGGCAACAGATTAAACACTTGTATGCAGAATGGATATATGAGTTTGAATTTGTAGATTAGAAAAAAATGTTCAGGTAAACAGAAATGTTTTTCTCAATAAAATATTACTTTGTTATGCTTTGCTTTATATGTATTTAACATAGTGGCGCAAAACAGGTAATTGACAAATGTGAGCTCTGGAACCTAATGCACTGTGACAGTCAGGGATAAATGTAGTTATATAAAAGGAAGGAAACCTAAATTAATTAATTTTATTTTGGTTACACGGGTAACAAGGTTGCATTGACTCAGTCTAGTCAGAACATACTACAAGGGAAAAATGCTAAATGTATCAAAGAGGTCTGACTTTTAGTTGACCCATATTGTTAACACACAACTCAATCGTGTCATTTCGTCTTTTTTCGGGACGGTTCTGTCTTTTCCCTTCCCAGACTGAATAGGTTTCAGTATCAGGGTTGTGCATATACGGTGGGACAAAATTTGCTGAGGATAATTATTGTTCTGAGTTATTGCTGTATTATAGGAGAAATATGTCAACAAACACAGAAAAACAATAACAACAAAAGATTTATAACGTATTTTAAGTATTTTAACTGTTAGTTGACATGCGGGGGGGGGAGGCTGTTTTGCATTTTATATATTTTGGGACCACTTTTTCAACTACTAGGTTTACATTTTGTCCCAGTGCAGGTTTAATTTTACACAACAAATAAATGTTCTAGTATTTTGTGCATGAATTGTTTTCAAATTCACGTGAGAAACAGAAAATATCCTGCAATTGTAGAATGGTCCATAACACCGCCGCCATGAAGGACACGGGGATATCGAAAGAAGCAGGTTATTAACAACTCACCTCAATTATCTCATTGACGAGGGCTGCAGCAGTGTCTGTTCTTTCTCCACCCGATTGACTTCAGCGTTTTCTTAAACTTAATAGCTACTACAAAACTTTCATACTGACTGTTCACTACAGATAGATAGCAACTAGCATTAACGTAGACTTGTACGAACTGTACTATACCTCGATATATAAAGATAGTTTCACCTGATCATCTCACTGCTCTGCCAAATTAACTGCACCATCTGTTTGTCTGTGCATCTGTTTGCTAAGCTAATGACAAACTGCACTCACGCTACTAGCAAGGTCGCTAAGCAACGGTAAGCGAATCTTCCAAGGCTATGCTAACCAGCTAGCACAGTAAATATCGATATCATGGAGGAGCCTTTTTTATAGCATTGGTAATGGTACTGCAGTCTGTAGGATTGTTTATTTGCTTGCTAATACCTTTCTTGTTGAAGCTAGCTTATTTATGTAGCATTTGAAAAATACATAAAAGACTACACAAACGATGAAAACTACAACTACATGGATCCTCAAGCTGCCGTTTGGCGATTGTAAGTGTCGTAATCAAAAGAGCTTAAATACGAGTGACCTCTGGCTTGAGCGACAAGTGGGAGAAACAGAGAAGCGTGAGGGACGTCTTGCTTGTCTTGGCAGTATGGTGAGTAGATACAGTAAATATGTTGGTTAACTTATTTTTTTCTGCACTGGAGATTAAACTGATATTCACCCTGCTAATGTAGGAAATTCACAAAGTAAGGTATGCGTTGTTTCTAGCTCACGGCATGACGCAGCCAACCAGAGGACTCAAAAGTTGACTTTATTTAAAAAGTCTCCTTTCGTGTCAAAGTCACGTGACACTTTTCTTATTTTGGTTATTTTAAATTGATGCTATCGAATAAGTGTCAAAGATGGCGATGAACCTGATCCCCCAAGTATATACTCATTTGTTATGCAACCCTAAATCGTGTCTGCAGGCACAGGGCTATTTTTGAACTCACCCCCTGCTTTACTAAATCTTTTAGACAAGAATGGACACCCAGCCCACGTGCAGCTCCAGTTAAACTTTCATGCTTGTCTTATGAGAGAATTCAATACTGTGATTGTTAACAGCAGATTTCTTCACCTTGTGTCTTGCAGGCTGAGCCTATTAGAGTTCTGGTGACCGGTGCTGCTGGGCAGATTGCCTATTCCCTGTTGTTCAGCATTGCCAAAGGAGATGTGTTTGGCCAAGACCAGGTAAAGAAGGGTTTTGCCCTGCGCTTGTTAAACACTCAGTTCCTTCTGCCTGGCACCCATAAAACTGACAGCTGGGACTGTCACAAATTTTCCAGGTCATATCTGGGATGACATTGCACATACTGTATGTTGTTCCTTTGGAAATTGATCAGGTTACACTAGCTTATTTATGACCGCTCAGATCAACCTGGACTGTCCTTGAAGTCAATGAAGCGGATCTTGTGCCAAGAGCACTTGATCCAATTGGTACATGGCTTAGGCCTTCCCATGCTGTCGCAGAGAACCAAGTCTCCCACTGACATGTAATTGTATACAGGGGTTATTATGCAATTGCATTTAAATTCAGTTATTTCCTTTTTCTTCTGGCAGCCAATCATTTTGCTCCTGTTGGACATCACCCCCATGCTGCCGGTCCTGGAAGGTGTAGTCATGGAGCTGCAGGACTGTGCCCTTCCACTTCTGAAAGGTAGTCCTTTAATAATTGAGCAATACCAGTGGGGTTTGTTTTTGTTTTTTGTTTGTTTTTTTTGTTGTTGGTTTTTTTTTGTGTTGTTGTTGTTGTTGTTGTTGTTGTTTTTGGGTGTTCTTTTGTTTAGTTTTTTTTTTTGTATAGGCATGTTTTCTTTTTTTGACAAGCGGGAATTTTGAGAGCAGAAGTAGCTAAATTCTTTTTTGTTTTTTCTTTTCTTTGCTTTCAGCCTTTTCTATTGTTAATAATAGAACTGCCTGTGATACTTCAATACACTTAAATAAATTCTTAAACGACCATATGACAAATGAGATCTGCTGTTCCAACTCACGCTCAATCTTCCCATCGTTCATGAAAAAGAATGCCTTGCTGGAGGCAAACAATGGTGTTTTTATTTTTTTTGTCTGTATTTCCATTTATACAGATACCATTTCTTCATGTGTGTGGATTTTTTTTTTTTTTTTTTTTTGGCAGAGGGATCACCTTGTAAATGTTTTAATCCACCTTTCCTTCTATACCTACATATCCCAAAATATGATCCATGAGCAGATGTTAGCTAATAAGAGGAACCTACACCATTTTTGTTGGAGGTGGTGGTTTTTCTTGAATGCTTTAAAGATTTTGTTTGCACAAATGGGCTCGTTTTCTTGTATGGACCCAGTTTTTTGTTTGTTTTTTGTTTGTTTGTGTGTTTCGTTCCTGCTGTCATGGACTCAGTCATGAGGCGCCACTATGTGCCATCTCCATTGTGACCTGGAATTTTTACTTTGCAATGGTGCTGTCCTTTGCTTTTGTTTGCACGGGGGCTGAAAGAGGCCCCTGTATTAGCCAGCCACGATGCAAAGACAACACCTCATGCACATCAAGACAAAGATAAATGCAGTTCTCATCAAACTGGTCACCATTTTTCTAAATCTTATGACTGCACTTTAGAGTGATGCTTTGTCTCAAACAATTAAAGAGTCAACACGGTAAATGTCAGATGCACAACACAAACAGGAAGGACTTCCTGTGGACCTCATGTTCTTTTGTTATAACAGTTTTAGGGAGTGTGTGTGAGCAACTTTTACTCATGCAACTTTTATCAGGAGCTGACACAATGTTCCCATATTGCAGTAAAGATCTGATGTGCCATTAATTTAAAAGGAATTCATTTTTTTCCAATTGTCACATTTGATTTGACTGCTTCCCTTCAGGAACAAATTCCACTATGAACTTAATAATCCCTCTCAAGGTTCAAAGTTGACAAATTGCCAAAGAGTAAAGTACTAAAAACCTATTGTCAATTAATTTTCTCCTTCTACAGAGATCATACCCACTGACAAAGAGGAGGTAGCCTTCAAGGACCTGGATGCAGCCATCTTGGTGGGCTCAATGCCCAGAAAGGAGGGTATGGAGAGGAAGGACCTCCTTAAAGCGAATGTGGCCATCTTTAAGAACCAGGGAGCTGCCCTGGATAAGTATGCCAAGAAGACTGTGAAGGTAATTAGAAGCATATTTTCTGATGTAAAACACTCCCTTCCTGTCAAGTGAGCAAATTTGAAAGAAACTTCTCAGCCTCTGCCAAATAGATAGAAATGTTTCCTAAACATTTTGTGCTTCTGGGAAAAATGGCAAAATCCTAATGAAGTATTTCCTGATGCCAAAACATTTTTCCCTTCTCGGTGTTGCATAATACAAGTTTGCTCGATTTACTCATGATAGTAATAAGACATAAAATCTGCATGGCATGTTTTTTAAATTGGTTTATGTGTGTTCAGGTGCTGGTTGTGGGAAACCCTGCCAACACCAACTGTCTGGTTGCAGCAAAGTCTGCTCCCTCTATCCCCAAAGAGAACTTTTCCTGCCTCACCCGTCTGGACCACAACCGGGCTCGCTCTCAGGTACAGTCCTCTCACTTCTTTCACTTTCTGATGGCGGTCTCAGACGTTTGGCAGCCACATTGTTAATCTTGGCTGACTGCAAACCTGGCTTTTCTTCGTATCCTGTAGGTGGCAATGCGCTGTGGTATTCCAGCCACTCAGGTGAAGAATGTGATCATCTGGGGGAACCACTCCTCCACACAATACCCAGATGTTCACCACTGCAAGGTCAACATGTCCGGCAGTGAGCTGACCTGCTTTGATGCAATCAAGGATGATGATTGGCTTAAAGGCGATTTCATTACTGTGAGTTATTGATTTCTAGATGAAAGCATGATATTTTATAGCTGGAGTGTACTCTCACTCGGATGCTTTTGGCTGTGCTTGAAAAAAGGAATATAATATAATCCTCATATTTTACTTTATTGTTCTATCTTTTCTTCATCCTGACACTCCTAATAAGATTAATGGTTCTGAACATTAGTGGTTACATTTGTGGTTTAACAATGCTTTTTTTTTTTTTTTTAAATTTGCACAATAGTCAGTTTTGCGGTCACTGTTCATGCGGGCAGATGTCAGTAAGACATGAAGTCCCTTTTTTAGGCTGAGCTGATATACTCACCTGTTTTCCAAGTCCATTTGAACTGCAAAATTATTCATTTGTATAAGCAAACGGTCTAATTTTATGTGGTTATAGGTTTGGAGTTCAGTTTTTCAAATGCCACATTTATTTTGGAGCCTTGAGCACCACTGACTAAATTTAAGTGATAATGGCTACAGAAAAGTCAGCCTTGAGCTTGCTCTAAAGACAAACTATAAGCACTTGTATGAGGCCCCTTTTCTGCTAGCAAACATGTAATTTTCCTTCAAGCAAAATATTTTCTGGGAGACATTCAAAAACTTATTTATTTATTTATTTATATATTTTGTGAACCAAAAACCTCAAAGATTTGCAGAATGGTCAAATCCTCAGGGTGTGTTTCCAAAACCTCCAAAAGTCATATTTGTTGGGTCTATCCTGGGTTCTTTCAGGTAGGTATGCCTGAAACAACCCTTACCTAGAAGGTGCTTGTCTCTAATCTTATTCTTCACACATTTTGTAGCAATACCCTATGTTCCTGTCCTTACCTGACAGCTTCACTGTCATGATCAGATCTCTTCATTACAACAATCTTTGCATCGCTACAGACAGTGTACCAGTCCTTGTGTCTGCCACTTATGAACAAAGGGAGAACACGTTTATACCTTGTTGCTTGCAGTGTGCATGTAAAGCAGATATTTGGGTAGTAAGTATAGTAGTAGTAGGCAGGGGCAGCATTTACAGGAGTCCAGTTGATAAAGAGAACTGATTCTCAAAATCAAACCTAGTCACAGAGCTCAATAACACTCCTGCATTTTCATTTAATGGCCCATGTTCTTACTTTGCAGACTGTGCAACAGAGAGGTGCTGCAGTCATCAAGGCCAGGAAACTTTCTAGTGCCATGTCTGCAGCCAAGGCCATCTGTGACCACATGAGAGACATCTGGTCAGGCACCCATGAGGTAAATCCTACATCTGTTTGTTATATCGGTCATTTGGGAATTTTCGCATATTGCACTTTTTACCCCTCAGCTGTAAAAGGCTGCTGGGGTATTGTCATTGGGCAGACAGTGGCATGGACATTCAAGTTTGTGAATGCAATAATTGGAATGGGGTGATGTAGGCTTTTCATATTGATACCATAGGTGCATCTACTAAAAATCTCAGATGAGTTTAAAACTCAAGGTCAAAGGTCCTCACTGAGGATTTTCAAGTTTACACCATAGGTGCATCTGCTAGAACACTGAGGGGTAGCACTGGTGACCACCATTATTTTTGACATGTTAGGATGATGCCCCCTTTGCACCATTGATATTAATTTGCAACTATTTTGACAAACTGTAGGTTCCTAAATCTAACAAGATCCTATACTCAAGATGCACTGTAGCAAATTAGATTATTTTTCATTTATTTATACTTCCTTCATCGTAGCAGAACGATTGAGTTTATAAACTTGGATTTTTTTTTTTATGTGTGAAAACAAATCAAAACACTAGAAAAAGATACAAGAGAACTCCAAGGACACCAAAATGCATCACTACAAACCACTGAGTATTCAGTCTGGTCACTGGCCAGATGTGTCTGCGGCAAGTAAATGCAGAAAGAATGTCCTGTGTTCTGGACACAGACTTTGCATTCATTTCACAGATGGTTACTATTCTGCACAGACCTTTGCATATCTGTAGTACGTGTCTGTCTGTCGTTCGACCGAAATCTGCATTCTACTATACTTGTGAGAACCAGCAGTCACTTGTGAGGACACACAACCCGGTCCTCACATATTTAAAGGCATGTTTGAGGCTCAAAATGTGGTTTTAGTGTCAAGGTTACAATTAGGTTATGGTTAGGTTTAGGATAAGGGTTAGGATTAGGCATTCATTTTTAATGGTTAGGGGAAGGGGCTAGGGAAAGCATTATGTCAATGAGGGTCCTCACAATACAGCTCTGAGTAGTGTGTGTGGGGGGGGGGTTTGATTTTTAAAAAACCTCAAACTTGGACAAACAAGTAGTCGTTGTTTGTTTTTTGTCGTGGTCAGCTCAGGTTCACCCTCCAAAAGGTTGTGGTGCGGTTGTTTTGGTCCACACCTGAGTGCCATTACTGTGTTTTAACCAGCACACATGAACCTCACCACAGGGGTAAAACAAACCAGAGTTTGATTTAAATGGACTAAATGCTGCGGGTGTGAAAACGGCTTCAGATTTCTGACAGGTTACATATGGTTCTATTGTCAGTGATGCAAAGTATTTGGAAAGGCTGCATTTTATTTTAAATTCACTTTTAATGAGGTTTTTTCCTTTTTTTTTTTTTTTTTTTTTTTTTTTTTAAGGGTGAGTTTACCTCTATGGGTGTTTACTCAACTGGCAACTCCTATGGAGTCCCTGAAGACCTAATCTACTCATTCCCTGTCCAGATCCAGGTAAGCCTCGATCTCACTTTTGTCTCCATTCTTCTAGCAGCTAGCATCATCTTTTCAGTGCAGCTTAAGACTAGCATTACCCTCCATTGTCTTTTTTTTTTGGATGTGGATTTTATATTGAATAGGGTTTTTGTTGTTTTGATTTTGTTTTGTTTGTTTCTTTTTAAATTAAAGTTTGCATTAAATAAAATTTTGGGGATTTCTAGAAACATTATAGATCAAAGAACAAAACTGAAGGTACATTTTATTTTTATTTTTTTTTTTTTTCAGAACAAGACCTGGAAAATCGTGGACAGTCTGGCAATCAATGATTTTTCCAAATCAAAGATGGATGCCACTGCAGCTGAACTGGTGGAGGAGAGGGACACAGCTGTGGCTTTCCTTGGAGTATGACTAGAGCCTGCACAGCAGCACTTAGACAGCCTCAAAACTCCAGATGCACGCCTGTGATGAAGCACTCCACCAGCCCCTCCATTACTGTGTGCTTGTGTGTGAGCGAGTTGGTGCTTATGGGTGTAAAGTTGCATTTGTATGTCAAACGATGTGAATCTGATTGTTATTGTTATTCAAGATCACAAAAATGTGTCATACTTTTGACAACATATGACTGGGTAAGTTTAAGTCAAAAGCAGTTGTTGTACGTCATGATGCACAAGTATCACTCACCATAAGTATACAGTACACTGAAACTCCACTATACCGGTTAAAGCTCTCTCCATTGTTTTTTCCCTTTATTGATTATTACATGGATCCTTTTTACAGCTAGTGAAGTCCTAAAACACTGGAATATTAACGCTGAGACAATTAAAAATAAATAAATTAATAGAAAAAACAATAAGTTGTCTGATTATTGATTTCCATACATGGATGCTGTCATTTTTTTCCAGGTTTTGGCAATACAAGCCTTGAGTTGGTAAACCTCAGCCACTAAACGTGTGTGTGTGTGTGTGTGTGTGTGTGTGTGTGTGTGTGTGTGTGTGTGTGTGTGTGTGAGAGAGAGACACACACACAACCTTTTAAAGCACTCACAATAGGCTGTTTGAATCCCCTAGGTTACCAGATGGGCCTCAATGAGTCAATTCTGTTTAAGGATAATTTGATGCAAATGCTCGATTAGTTTGTGCTCTGTAGTTGTGTAGTATATTTAACATATTATGTATGTATATAAAGTAACTAAAATTGGGTCCTATTGCAACATTTAAATGGTGTACTAACATTAGTTATGCATGCATATTTTTATTATGTGCTATTTTGCATAGTGAGTAATTTAAGGTATTTTTGAAAGCTCTGTTTGGACTTCAGTAGTTTTCAGATTTCCTATAGGCACAACCTGATTGTGATGGAGTCAGGACAGACGGGGTCCTGATAAAATATAAAGTTAACTTATTAAGACTTGACATGTGGCTTTATGCAACCATTATTCCATTACAGAGATTATACCTTGTTGCTTGCAGTGTGCAGCCCAGGTAAAGCAGGTACTTGGGGGGGGGACAGTAAGTAAAGTAGTGATTCACTTACAGTGAAATGACACAGTTTCACCAGGCAGGGGCAGCATTTCCTGTTTTATTTTTTACTCAGTTACAGTATGAAGAGTTATGTAACATCTGCAATTAATAAATTCACAGCTGGTTCACTGAGGATAAGCGTTAAATGGGGCAAATCTACCAAAAACAGTCACCACTCCCATATCAACAGTTTCATTTTGGAAATCCCAGTTAAAGTACTCGTTTTAATCTTTACATTAAATTTACATGAAAAAAAAAATCATTCGCAGGCGTTTCATAGATGTCACACCTGTCAATGTGAACACGTTACTTCTTTTTCTTGATATCACTTATTTCAATATTTTGTATTTATTACACAGCGTGCTGCGAGGAAAAGCCTGTTCTAACGTTTGAGTCTAAGGTTTACTTTTTAGCACCTGGCGGCTCTTTTTTTGCTTCTCATCCGAAAATACTCTGCATACTCTTTCACGTGATTCAGTTTATTTTGAAAAGTCTCAACGGGATATTGAGCTTTATTGTGAAAGGTTTACGTGAAAAATAAACAATCCGACACGTGACGCGATGGTTTTACCGTCGTTGTTGCTAACGTCAACACATAAATACAGGCGCTTGTCCGTCCGTACTGTGGTTATATTAAATATAAGAGAAAGAGAGAACTTTAAGAAATTAATATAGCCACTACAGTGACCATCAAAACGATGAAAAAATATTGCAATATTGCCGTAAACAGTTTATTTTGCGACACCACGAAATAAACGATAGCGCAAAATTAAACGATAGACGTTTTTATATCGTTATATCGAACAGCCCTAATTTTGAGCTATCTTCAATCAGACATTGCCAGAAACCAACATCGCACGTAGCAGAATCCTATTGGCTGTTAAAACCACGCACACAAAAACAGCATTTGTCATTGGCTCCCATCCTCCCTCGGCGTTCCGATTCGTCGTTGCCTAGAATGGCACTGGAGTGTAAAATATCTTCAAAAACTATCCGATCACCTTTTTAACTTCTGCACCTTTTTTGTACGTCCTGTGCTTTTTTTTAACACCCATTCAGCGATGTCGAAGGGCAGCAGAAGCGGCTTGAATTAAGGTGTAAATAAAACACATACATATTTTTGTGTACCCCGCTGTCTCCTCTGCTGGATCTCTGTGGTCCTCCAGACCTGCAGGACCAGGCCGACCCCATCGACTTTTCTTCCGCCAGTATTCTACAGTAAGAAAATGGCTTCAAATGTGTGTGTATGACGTGTTTCCCTCTCTACATTAGCCATCGGTAGGACTCCACACGCGGCTGGTGTTGAGGCGCTATGTCCGGGTTTTCTTTTTGACATTTTTCAGCTGAGAAAGGTCGTTCCTCTTCCTCCTCCAGTGTTACGTTCATGGCACCGTTGTTGATTATAGTTGTCTCCTTGCGTGTTGCTTGTTTGTGGAGGGCATAGCGTTCATCTCTGTCTGTACATCACTCAGTCACTAATTCATTTCCGCAGGCAGCAAGTCATACAGACAGCGTGACTGTACCTGTGTGCCCGGGTGTGTCTTTGCACATCTCGCCGGTTAATTATTGACGGCGTGTGTGTTAGTTGACTTTAAAAATCCCTGTGGCAGCCATAAGGTGATAAAAATGAAAGCACTCGAGGGGGAGGGGGAGAGGCGCTGGGGGAAAGAAGTGTCCAGAGGTTGTGAGACACAGTAAGGATTTGTGACGTGGTTGCAGGGTTGGGGCAGGGGGAGAAATACGGGCGGTACGAGCAGTAAAAGAGCTGGGTACATCGGATCCAACTTCACGTTGAAGGGAGGACCACTTGGCTGGTGTCCAGAGAGATAAGTGTGGTCGGATGAATGTGTCCTTGTTTTACTCGCAGGCACAGCGTCTTATCCTTTAAAGCTTCAACGCTGGATCGATTTAAAAGGCTTGGGCACCAATGAAAGAATGACCAGTCGGATGATTTAAGGACACCTCAAGGAAACTTTTAATATTATTATTATATATATTTTTAAATCCATTCACCGGATGTTTGCTCAATGACATCTTGTTTTTTCTGGGATACAAAACTTAAAGCGTGTCCACTATTATTTTAAACACTACTTGGCAGCTTAACCATGGCACTTTATGTCGAAGGTAAGTGATCTCTATTTTACTAAAATTGTGACTCTAGGAGAGGGAGGCTTAAAGGATTATGTTTATTTTTTAAACGATCTATGTGTTTTTTCCTGTTCATTTCAGAACATTATTTACATCAACTTTAACTTTCCCCCGCATATGAGAAAGTGTGATTTATCACATTTTAATTTTAATCACTGATTATTAAAAAAATAAATAAAAATCCACTATTTGCCAGACTGTTACAGGTTTAGTTGAGTTTACCATCATTCATTTGACCAATAAGAAAAGTTTTGTTTTTTTTAATTTCATAAATCTACTATTATTCCTAAACCTTTTAGTAATCATATTAAATAATCTTCACTACTATAGTAGAGTAGCCCCACTGTGATAAAATAAGCAATAGTGTGATAAATGTATGTTTAAGTCAATAAACGAATGCATTAATAACTGTGAGTAATTGTTAACTGATGCCTTCATGTGAAAAATGAGACCTTACGAGTCTTCTTTACATAATCTTTAGTAGATTACCAGTAATCTGTCTGTAAGCAAGGTCTTCTTGGGAGACAGTCTGCTCACGGTTTTCTAGTTTACTCACTGGTTTCATTCAATTCCTCCTTAACATGAACACACAACCTTGAACTGCTTTATAGCAGTTATAAACACAGTTGGGATTTTTTTTTTTTCATCATTGGTATCATTGTTCTGCTGACATGTGGTGACTCAAACACCTCATTGTGATAGTTTACATAAGTTTCTGCTTCTAAAATGCTATAATTAAGTGGTTGGTTAATGCTGCAATACTTCCCATGAAAAGTGAGAGTAATTTTGTCCACAGTAACACTGACACCTGATTTCGTAAATCTTTAAATGGTGTTAAACTGTTTCCCTTTGCTACTGTCTGCTATTACAGTATGTCGTGGTATTTGCCATTTGGCTTCAAAGTTCAGTTTCCTGTAGTCATATTTGTCTCTGTGCCAGGAGCTGTTGATTGTTGTGTTGTAAGGTCACTTAAGGTTAGTTGCAGCGCTACTTGGGAAATTGGCAATAAAAAGTCTGAAAGGCAGGATATCAGGAATTAATAAGCTATATCTCACAGCAGGTTAATGATTTCTAACGTCTTTATATACTCGTATGCTTTTCATTTTTTAAGTAATAACAATAAATGGTACTATCAAGGCGTTCTCAGTGAATATTATTATTTTTGTCATTGCCATTCATTATATTTCAGCTACAGTTCATGTAGGTTTTTTAATAACTTCAGATTTTTATTCTTGCTTATGGTTTGTGGAAAAGTGAGTTTCTATTGTCATATTTACCTTTTTTTGACAATGTGTGTCACATTTTACTTAACAAGCAGTGAACATGTTTAACTGCTTTTACTAATGGACCATAACAACAATTAGGGTGAAAATTGCTGTGCTAGCAGGTATAATTGCCTTATCTTTTTTTTTTTATTTAATCAAAGCTTTTTAACTGGTCAGTGTTTAATGGTTTTATTGGCACATGCAGAGCTATTGTTTACCTTGTGCTCGATGTTAACAGATGGACTGATATTTGATAATCACTTCTTAACATAAACAACAAACTGCCATTTTAGAGATAAATTAGCCATAGATTAAGTTGATTTAAAATACCAACAGCATAGAACCTGTGTTGGGCATGTTACTGTTAAAAAACTGTTTTCATAACTATCTTAAAGCTATATTTTCCTTTTCTGAATCTGATCTGCTGTAACTTTAGATGTAATTAGCTAGCTGTCATTATTTTCCTGTGATGCAAGGAAGTTACATTAAAACTGCTTGTGACTCTCAAATACCAAGGTTTAGTTTTTTAGTATTGTTTACTTATCTATGGAACAGATTGCTAGACACAAGCTAACATAATCACGAGGGTGTCGCTGCTTGGAATAACGGGTGCTACAGTGACTCTTTAAGTATACCTCAACCCTTTTACGTCAAGTCTAACTAGAAGCATGACAGCCCTCCTCTTAAATGTCATTGCTTTTATCATACGGTGCAGATGGCTGTTGACTCAAAGACTGCCCATGCTACAATAATGGTACAGAGCCTGTGTTTACTTCTTTGTACATCAGTCACTCAGGTGTTTCCATTGAGATCAGGGCTGCTGTTGATTAAACTGAGGATAAAATCGTTTGGTCTAAAATGACTGCAAGTAAAAAAAAAAAAAAAAAGCTAAAAAAAACCAGCATTTCAGTCTGGTTGTATTCATTGACGATTCAAGGAACACAAGGTGTCCATGTGCTATAGAGGTCCTTGGTGCGAAACAAGCCCAATTCATCACCCCCTGTGCTTCGCAGTTGGTATGAGGTGTTTATATGGAGGCAAGTTGAGCATTTTAGCAAAAGTGGGGCTGCGCATTATGTCCAGACGTTTCCACTTTGGCATCATCCTCTGAAAGGACATCATTCCAGAAGTCTTGTGATTTGTTCAGATGTAACTTTACAAACCTGAGTTTATGTGCAAGTATGTTAAAAGCTAAAAGTTAAAAGTGCTTTAACGCTTCAGACTATTTTTTTCTTTTACTGTTGGATCTGTATGATGTCAGAGAGAGGCGATATCCTTAATATGGGCTTCTCTAGCCCCCATTGGTGGTCTGTGGGTGCTATGCAGTGCTTGCATGCTTACATCTTCATACTGTAGCTACTACCAAAAAGGAAGCCGTCTGGCTACATGTAGAAATTCTGTCCATTAAACACTATAAACAGAATCGGGGGCGAAGGGCATTCAACTTCTTGATTTGATTGGCCAGTTCCGCTTTAGATGGACTTATCTTTTCTGCACATTAAGGTGGGGTTTTTAACTGGCTACAAAAGAGGTAAGAACTGAAATAATATAATCAGCCTTTTTTTTTTTTTTTTTTTTTTTAAAGTGGGTTAAAGTTTTTGAGCCAGGAAAAACCTTACAGGAATTTATGTTTCTATGTTGCGTAATCAGACATAATTTTATCACACACAAAAATAAACAATGAATAAAATCAGCAAAAAATCGAGAAATGTTTCACTCTGAGGATTGAGCATATGATACGAATCAAACACGTTAAAACTGTCTCCCGTCTCACTCCGTATCTCACCGTCTTTCGTGTTTAGGTCTGAGTAAAGGTGTGGCTAACGGAGGGATGGCTCAGTTCCAGGAAACGATGCGGCAGCAACTGGAGAGCTCCATGCACGATGAGCTGGAGAAGCTGCTGGACACCACCACAGGGGCTGAGCGAGAGGTACACTAACTGTCTGCTTCGCTGTCTTTCTCCCTCCCTCTCTGACCATCTGGTTGTGATTCAGAGGGTGGTGGGGTCACAATGCTGGGAAAACACAAAAAGTGACACATACTGGAGCACACTGCCAAAAAGGGTTCCACCTACATATCTCATAACATTTTAGCAGCCAAACTTCTTAAGCAACATTCGCCCATTTTTGTCTGGTTTTATTCAGACATGATACGTCAGCAGAGGGGTGCAGGCCCTAAGAGACCAGGCAGATTTTCTCATTAGCCCTAAATGAACCTGAGTGAGCTCTTTTCAGCCCACAGCACCAACGTAAGACTAAAATCCAAATTAAAATGGCAACATTAACACTCTACAGACTCGTCTTTCCTCTGTGAGATTTCTTTGGCTTTAAACTAGCATAAAGCTTGGGACAAAACTGGAAATAAATAGTGCAGTGTTTAGCAGTAAACTCTTTCAGGCATTAACCAAACCTTGTTTAACTGCAAGCAATCAGGGAATAAAACACTCAGAGTAAAGAGGTGAGAAGTCTGTCACATGCAGGTGTGAGCAGTAATTCCCACACACTTTCAAATATATTAACAGGAATCGCTTTTGTACTTGCTGTAACTTATACGTGTAAAACGCCATGTGCACGCATACACACAATGGGTTACTCATTGAACTTTGAAGGTCTCCAGTGTAATTGGATACCAGTGTGAAAGTCGAGACAGTGACGGCCACCTAAACTGTTATTTGCTCCACATTGGGTGTTTGACTTTTTTTCATCACCCATAAATGGGACTTTTCCTTTTCTTTTTTTTTTCTTTTTTTTTTAAATTAAAAGATGAAAAAGCACAAAGCTACATGGCATGTGACAAAGTCTGGACTGTACAAATCCAAATATTTTGTGTAAAAGCAAACAAAAATTTCAATTTAATTTCAATAAATCCAACCAGCTATGTGTGGCTGACATGAAGTAATTATACTGTAGATTTCACTTTTTAAAATAAGATATACTTTATTATTATTCCCACTGGCTGGTGAAGTTTAGAATGTATGAATACATCATTCTTGTATTTGATGTCCAGATGCTGTTTCATCTGTTTGTGTGCACATCTGTTAAAGTCGTGTATAAAATGGTTTCTGAAGAGAAGTTCAAAACAAGTTTCATATAGTCACAGTGGACCAGACAAATTGTATCAAACCTTCCAAGTAAAACAATTAATGTGTATTCGGGACAAAAAAGGGTGTTTAAATATTTTTCGGGACCTTGGCTATTTTGTTTGTCTGTGTTAAAATATAATAACTATATGTTTAAAACAAATACAGATTAAGGATTCAAATGTGGAAATATAAAAAGGTCCTTTCCTGCAGTTTTGCACTATACTGTTGTGCTTAAAGAATATACTAAATCACCCACAGGAAAGAAATAAACAGTTTTTAAATGAAGTTCACACCCATAAATTTGCATAGAACAATAATGATCCTTTTTATATGAGAGGTATGGGGCCTTTGAAGCACACTGCTTAATGTGTGTAACAATCCATGAAACTGAGACCGAAATTGCAATACAGATGTCTACAATATTGTATCGCGAATCCTCAAACTCATCTTTCATATTTAAAGCTTTCCAGTATGACTTTGATGAATGGAAGTTTTTAAATTCAAGACACCAGCCCCACTTAAATAAACCGTAAAATGCCTGTAAAATTAAGTATAGTGGTTTTAGTCAAACCATTTTTCCAAGGCGTGCAGCTTCTCTTCTGCCCTCAAAGCGATAATACTCTGAAATAACTGAGGCCATTTCAGAAGTGATTTTCAACATTTTCATGTCTTTCTAGAGACCACTTCATATTGACTTTGCAAACCTCAGCCTTAGTTTAAGATAACATCTTTGTTTTTCAGGTATCCAAGAAAGACTTTGAGGGCTTCAAGAATCTCTTCCATAGATTTCTGCAGGTGAAGGGACCATCAGTGGAGTGGATCAAGATACAGCGACCTCCAGAAGACTCTGTAAGCCTTCTTTTTTGTTTTTAGCGGTTAATTGTATGTTTGTCTGTGTTGACTCTGGATTTGTCTTTGTTTAAAATATTAAAGCATCTATTTTCCTTGCAGAAGGGGACATTAGACCCCACAGCAATGGTAGATATGTCATATATTAAAAAAGTAGCTGATATTGAATACAGAATAAAATAACTTCTAATCGGTGGGTTGTCGGATTCGATTTGATTTTACCCTTACCACTGAAAGTACAAGTGAAATGATGAAATATGATTTTGGTGATGCATTCACTAGTTGTGAGATTAAGTGATACCAAAAGATTGCAGTGATAAGTTCTTCTTTTCAACTTGTGAAAGCATCACTCATTTCAATCCCAGATATTCGTCATTCACTGTGATTGTGGGGAAAAAACCAGTTAGACAGTTGGTGTTTTGCAAGTTTTAATACCAGCGCGTTGGTGTCGTTAAACCTAGCGAGGAACCTGCATTTATATTTCTGCACAGCGGCGTTTTCCTAACAACGCCTAACGCAGTCGGTAATAAAGTTAGTTTTAGTGCTTCAAGAATCTGTCTGCACTGTGCAAGTCTGATGTGTGACTAACATTACTCAGCAGCTTCAGAGCTGTTGGATGAGCTTGCTTTGGAGCTCTTTATAACAATGGCAAGAATAGACGATTGTATTAGTTTGTTTGCCTAAAAATGCTCCGCTTAGAAAATTACTTTTACACTCTGGACAAACTATAAATTCAGCTTGCCTCAGGATTTACAATGACCTAAGGAGTTCCTGCACCAATGAAAACCTTTGTTAGAGTCAACAAAGAGAGAGAAAAAAGATGTGTGGTTCTCATCAGCTATTATTTTCACCTCCACCAAGGAGGTCATGTTTTTGGTAACTTTTGCATGTGTGTCACTCTGTCTTTAAACAGGATGGCTCGAAAGGTTTTGAGTGAATTTTGATAGAACCTTGTAGGGGCGTAGAGTGGAAGCATCTTAACAATCCATTCAAATTTGACTTACATCCACTAATGTGTTCAAGGTCCACATAATGATTAATTTGCATAAAGTTGACAGTAAACCTTGTGACTTAAAACCTGTGATCCTTACAGATGCGGCGTGTATCGTCAACATATAGAAAGTTCTATATAAGGATTGGAAATGTCATGTCACATTTGACCACACGCACACATTCAAGGTCAGATAGATTGGACTCAAGGTCAAAATGATAATAATGTTATTCAGAGCTATTTAAAACTGTTTCTTACTGCCATTGTTTAAACTGACAACATATAGAAGAAGTATAAGGAATGATATATGGAATATCACATCATTTTACAAACATATTTACTCAACAATGAAATGAACACCACAAACAAAACACAAAATTAATGTATAGAATAATCCAAGTCTGTAAACAGAGTGCATTTTTTTTGGATGATTGAGTGACCAAAATTCAAAGTGGGTGGTTTCAGATTACACGATTGCACAGAATAGGTTTCCTTTTCTTGCTAAACTCTGTACGCTTGCAGGCTGCTGCATAGAAAGTGCTTAGGTGTTGTCAGCTAGCACCGGGGAACACTGTGAAATACGTGGATCAACCAGTAATGTTGGTTTTTTGTTTTTTTGGGTTTTTTTTTGTGTGTGTGTGTGTGTGTGTGTGTGTGTGTGTGGGGTTGGTTTGTTGTTCCAGATTTGTTGTTCCCCCTCTTGTCTTAAAAAGCGTAGTGACTTTGTGTTCAAAAAACTAACATGGTGGAAACCTGAAACATTTTTCCTTTCACTAACCCTTAATGGGCCTTTATCTCTAGCTAGCTCCAAGTACCACACATTTTCTTAGTGGGGTCTCGTCTTTCTACACTTTAAGGACAGTCTTTGTTCTCTTCTATGTGTCATCCGCAAATGAAGGCAAAGCCTTACTGTTGAAACTGAAAAGTCAGATTTTTCTTCTTTGTAACGGCACTCGGGACCTCCAGCAGTTCTTGAGCTGTAGAAAGACTGTTCTTCTCTTGATTCCATGCTTTGACATCTAAACCTGGACCACTGTGCTTGGTAATGATACTTCCAAGATGACTTCACTATTCCAGGTCCAAGTATGACTGACTCGGCACTGGTTACATTGATTCTTGTGATTTTCTTATTGTCCATCATATAGGATGTTGGGGCCTACTTGTGATTGGGTGTTTTTTAGCATCATGATCTAATCCTGCATCTGCTTGATTGTAGTGGTTGTGAGAAAGCAGAGCTATAGCATCCCAGTGTGTGCCAGTGTGGTGTCTATGTTTTATACAATCTATAAGTGCACCTCCATAGTTTGCTTGTCTGTTTGTAATCCTTCTTTCTGCAAACGAACACCAGTGCAGTACTCCTGGCTTTACTTTATTCCATTACAGTAAAGCCATTACAGTAAGATCCATTATAATGTAATCTTGGTGACTGTTAACATTTTTAGACACAGGGTTATCCTATTAGAATGATTCTAAAGAAATGGTAATGGACCATTGTAGACTTTACAGGGATAACACCCACATTTCTGAGCTGTTTGTTTGTATCCTGAAGGCCCCCTCGTGGATTGCAGTAGTCAGCCTCTTTGTACTGTCTTCTTAAGCAACTGTGGATAAAACTACAGATGAAGTTGGCCAGCTTCTCTTTTCTACCACTCTGTGATCAATGACATGGGTAATTTCTATCTAACTATACCTAGTGCCCTTTATTGAGCACATACAGTTTTAACAGGGGACTTTAAAATACCTGTTCATTTTTGTTAACATTTACACCTCTAACTCTACACTGTCATCTTAGCAGGAAACCAAACAAATCAACCAACCACACCAGCCAGAGGACGTCATCATGGCGCTAGTGTGCATCAGTCACTTTACATAGTCAAAGTGTGAAACTGTCAGGGTGTCTAGAGTTTGTCTCTCTTTCGCCGAAAAAAAAGCCCACTTTGTAGACCTTCAATGGATGCCTTCAGTGCTCCCCTCCAGTTTCCCCAGTGCTGCATGTTTTTGCCTTAACTTAATAGTGCAAGATTGAAGTTCAGTTTAATCTCAAAAGGGGATCTTTGAAATTTAAACACTCCATTTTCGTTGAGCTGTTGTTGAGCAGTTAGGAGCAGCACCCGAGTGCAGCCAGTGAGCAAATGGATCTGCAGAATCAGATGAGTCTGAGAGTTGGCTTTCAGTCTGCGTTCTCTTTGAAACTCTGTGGAAGTTAATCTCTCTCTCTCTCTCTCTCGATGGAGTGGAAAGTCTGACTAATAACAGAAATGAAAACACTGCAGTAATGAATTGTTGAGCTGTAAGATGAGATTGCACAAACATGTTAAGGCAACACAGCAGACCTTGTGAAACACACGGGAAGAAAAAAGAAAATTTAAATGATTGATTAATTGGATTAGTTGCTCATTTACAAAAGCATCAATGTCAGCAGCAACGTGTTCACCTCAATTCGACACATTTGGCCTAGCAGGGTGTTGTGCCAAAAAAGGATTACTGGTATTTGAACTTTGGTAAGTGACTTGTTGACCTATAATCTGTCAGAAAAGATTATAGGTCATTTCCAAGTTCTGGCCAAGAGGGCAGGAAAAATTGCAAAACATAGCGTAGCAGCTCTATAAATGTGTTTAGGCAAAAAAAGTTTGATTTCTTTATAATTTAGCCATAAGCGTATTTGCACAACAGCTCGTTTCTTTATTCTATAACCTTTTTGTAAGTCCTGTCGTCTGCTGTGTATTTACCAAATTAAACAAGAATATTGGAAGTGAACAGTAAATGCAAACATTGGGCATCACTTTTGGGGACAACACTGTCACCAAGCCAGGATATATAGGCGGGAAGGGCATCCGGTATGAAATTTGCCAACTCAAATATGCAGATCCACTGTGACAATCCCTTGGGGAAATTAAGGGAACAGTGAAAAGTACCTTTAGCTGTTAAGATGTCACTAAGGCATAAAAACATAGTTGTGTGCAGGCAAGGGTGCAACGAGCAATAAATATTCTCAGTAATAGTGGTTATGATGCAGCAATGAGCATCTGAAGAATTGCATGCAAGTATGTGCTTGTCCTATTATGTGTCTTGATTTGTTTTATTTATTTTTTTATTTTTTTTATTTTTTTACCTTAAGCCATTTACAAAACTAATAATAAACACTAGTTTGTATAGAAATTGAAGGTCTAGTTTAAACTGTAAAAATGGAGAGCCACATGTCTTGAACGTAACCATAGCTAATGATTACACCCTTTACCAGAAAACCACAACCTCCGCACTCTGCGTCACACCCTGCTCTCCTACCACATCTTTGTACTCCTCGTACTCGCTAGATTTGGACAGCTAAAATATTTTGTGCAGATTGTTTTCATTTATACCACATCGACACCAGCTTGCTTAAATTAGCTGCCTCACAGCTTAAATACCTAAAGAGACTCATGAAGCGTACATGTGTGCATTCCTAACATTGCAGTCCGTCACAGCTATGAAAGCCATGTGTCAGTTTCTCATGTGGGCTTTGTTTGTGAAGTTTGTGGTAAAGTTTGTCAATGTGTTGCCGTTCATTTCTACAGTTATTTCTCATTTCTTGTGTGTGACTGACACACATAATCGTGCAAAGTCACTTGTCCTGTTCCACCAAATTAGTTTGATGAATTTCAGAGCGAGTCACTCAGGTATAACAAAGGAATTAGTTACTGAAGCTTCCCAAGTGTTTGCTTTATAGACTTTCTTGTGCGTCATAGGTTCACACCTGTCACCTGCTTTCTCCTTGTAATTTCTTTGAAATCTGTACTTGTGGACACAAACTATGTTCATTTTAAATAATGAGACATTTTCAGTGTGAATAAAACAAATTAGCATTTGACAAAAAAAACCCTGGAAAACTTAGTATTTATAGCTTCCTTCTACTTTCTGTACCACTCTTTTTGAGTGCGCTGTAAGTAGTAACTTATGATTTTTTTTTTTTTTTTTTTATTAGTGTTTTGTGAATTATTAACTGCTGTTTTACAGATCAGTCATAAACTGTTATTAAACTAGGAAGGAAGGTTAGGAAATCTTCTCAAAAGTCAACCGTCCTATCATTCCTCTGTTAATTTGAGGGTGGGTTTTAGAGGATTAGTATTATTGGTTATTATTGGATTATTGCTATATTGTTTTTTGTCTTTATAGTTGGATTAACGACCCACAGTAATCTCTTCCTGTTGTTTCCTCTCATTTTGAGGTTACGGAGCGCTGCACTCATTTTAAAGAGTGCATAGTTGTACACCCACACATATCTGTGCCATAAGTTATGAAATAATTTACCCGAACTGCACCTCAGAAGTTGCTCACTTCCTGCGTGAACAACTGTTGCACGCCAAAGTAAAAGTATAGTCAAACAGATTCAGTCACATTTGAATCTGATATTATTTTATTGTATTTTTAATGGGTGGGCAGCGTGGTGGTGCAGTGATTAGTGCCGTGTTGATGCTGATTTCTTGAGTATGAAACTATTTGTGGAGTTTGCACGTTCTCTCCAACTTGCTTCTGCAGTCCAAAGACAAAGATGTCTGATGAATTGGCTGTAGATGTAAAGCTGTGCCTGAATGGCTGTCTGTCTCTTTGTGTTAGCCCAGCATCAGAGCAGCAGCTTGCCCTATGCTCCAGCCTCCAATATGTCCCTGAATTGGATAAGTAGGAGAAGATGTGTGGAGGCGTGGCATTTTTAATGCAAACTATTGCAGATCACTCTGATTATCACCACTTTTTGGTAGCCAAAAAATTAAAAGTATCTTTGACTGGTTGGACAGTTGGAGCACTTATCTTGTGCAGGAATTTTATTATCCATTTATTATTAGCTTATGAACCATATATAAATGGATTAACACAACCTTGCAAAGGATTTATTAAAACATTGGTTACTACTCATGAGCTGTGTTTAAACAGTGATTTTTCTATAACATTTTTAAACTTCCAGTAGTTTCATCCGTGCTTTCATGTTCATCAGGTGTCACAAAATAAATGGAATAAACAGAACTCTGGAAAGTGTTTTTCGGTACAGTAGCTCAAAGAACACAACCTGATCTTTCTTACTACAAACTCTGTTTCTCACTGTCAGCAGTTACGCCACTATGAAAGTTTGGCTACTTCTTAAGAAATACTTTTTCCCCCTATAGAAGTAGCTCAGGATAAGCCAGTCTGGTTGTCTCTGTGTGATATGTTTTTATACATGATAAGTAAATGATGATGTTACTTTAGTTCTTAGCTGCTTTTTCCTTCTTCTTTTTTTGTCCTTAACGATCTCAGAAGCTGCAGACACAGAGAGAGAAGATTAAAGATGGAGAGTAGGGCAGGAAAATAGGAATAAGGAGCAAAAGGATGTGGCTTCACAGAAAGATAAGGATTCCATAAAGAAAGACGGAGACAGAGAGATGATAGGGTTTGGGAGAGAAAAGTGATGAGGCAAGAATTGGAAACTGAGAACATAAAATGAAATCAAAGTCGTGACAGTGACAGACTGTAATGAGACTGTGGAGATGATATATGCATACGAGACAGAGAGAAACTGAAATAAGAGGGCACATAGTTAGATAACATTTATTAAAAACTACAGCCAAAGGAAGCACTTGACTGCAATACTCAATATATTGCAAGAACATCTATTACATCTATTACACATAAATGTATCTAAGTGTATATCATTATTATTCAGCTTTATTAATGTGGCAGTTTAGTGAATTAAATCTTCTTCTTCAGTGCTGGTTAGCAAACTTCTGTTCACTCCAACCTGGAGGTGTGATTATTAGCGCTTCAGACATGCTGGACTTGCAAAAACATGACAGAGAGACAAGCCATCCAAAAACAAAACAACGCAATTGTGGAAGTTTCTTTTCTCTTTTCTTTTCTTTTCTTTTTTCTCTTTTCTTTTCTTATCATTTTTCTTTTTCAAGAATAAACTAAATAGACTGGTTGTCACCTTAATTGTTACCCCTTGAGTCTCTTCCCAGCATGGACATTCACATGTATGAAACATTTTCAGCATTTCTACAAGGACAAACTAGTGAACTTTGCACCGCGTACCCCCCTTGGGCTGAGCGTTTAAATCTCATCTTCAAGATTATTTGCTGACGGTAATAAAAATGCTGGATAAAAAAGCCAGACTCAGTGCTGTGGGGAGATTTGATGGCACACAGCACTGGAGCTGTAAAAGGTCATATTGTTTTGTGTGCGTGCGGTTTGTAAAAGATGAGATGAGGTTGCGGATTATTTCGTGCATTGTTGTGATCCTGAGGTTTGTTTTCTGTAGAAGATGTTTGTGGCTTGGAACATCTTGAATATCTTTATGCATAAATGGCAGTGGTGAGTTTTGATTTGTATAAAAAAAGAGAAACTTTGAATGATGGGCGAATGGAAAAATACAAATGTTTAAACTACTTGATGGGAAAATGCACAACTCTGACTCAGTAACAGCTGAAAGTAATTTCATGTCTGGGGATGTTTGTATTGTTTTCTTTGAACCTTTTCTAAGAGGAAGACGAGTGATTGTCCCCACAAATATTTCCAGTTGTTGTCTCCTAATATTGTCTCCTAGTGACAGTAGTGTTGCGCTTCCACTGTGCTTAGTAATCTCAGTTTAGTGAGAAAATGTCTTTCTCCTTCGACTCGTGCTAACATGTCGTGAAAACCATAATTTAACTGTGTAACATGACAAATCCCGCTGACACCCTCATAGTTGTAATCGAACAGTGGGCTCGTTGCGGTCGATATAATACTCTGCAGATTTCCTTTAGGTGTTCACCGCTGCCTCTGACAGCAGCTTTTTAGTTAGAGGAAATGGTGAAGAGCAAATTCAGCACATTTCTCAGTCAGTGGTCAGTGAGATGTTCCCTGGTCAACAAATGGGGTTTTAACTTGACTGGCTGTAGCTGGAATCAACACACACGCAGGAGTCAAAAGTAAAAGTAACCCCCATCTGTTTTCTCCACAAAGGGAAATGAACATCAGCGTGTGGGAGACATTTCCCTCCGGGGGGACAGGGATAGGATGGGGAAATCGGCTGAAAACATTTCTCTCGTTGTAAATAACCTCACGTCAACAGCCTCTCTTCCTTCCCTCCTGGACTTTTTTGATACCCAATACTTGCAGGGATTTCATCTGTCTGCGCTGTTATGCACAATAATCATCTCCATTCCTTTAATGCAAGTCAGTAAACACATTTTACCGCCTCCAGCCATCCATTTGTCCTTTACGATGCCCGTCTCTGTGAAGGACGGAGAGTGGGTAGCAGCTGCATCATTTTTGTGTGTTGTGTTTTGTAACCTCATCCTCTGTGTGTGGCGAGCAAAGGGGATAAACACCAGAGAGACTGTTTCCAGCATGAGGTCTGCTGTTTGTCCGCTATCACTGATCAGCTACTCTGTTATTTTAACAGGAAGAGGAGGCAGGATGACATCCGGCCTTATCAGTGCTGACGCATTAATCGCATGATAAAACTGCACAGAACATGACTTAAACACAGACGGGATCAAAATACCATGACATATGGTTAAAATTTAGCTTATTTAGCTTCTTGATTAAAGTTGAGAAGAAATAATGGTGGGAAAAGGGGTGAACTGCAGTTTTACATGTTCCTAGCTGACACAATATATTTATATCATCATCATCTGTGGGAGACAGCAGTTGGGTAGATACGCTGATGTGAGAGCTGCATTGCTGATCCTCTAATGTACATTTACACACCATACTCCAATAAATCAACAGAACTGCTGTGTACTGTATGTATAAACTTGCTGTGTTGTGTATCAAGCCTTGTTAATGACCATTTTCTGCACCATTCACTCGAGAAGCAGTTGCAGAATGTCTGTTTGCATTGTATGCACATTTCCCAAAAGCAGTTTGCTGCAGATCAAGTTAACAATTTCTGACATTTTCACATTTCTGTATCGCGTCAGCCCGTTTCATTGCTCAGCTGGTAATTAGTCCGCCCACGCTCAAAGCTGTTAATGTCTCTGTTTTGCTTCTGTAAAGAACTTAAGACTATCAGTTTGCTTGCAAAAGCCGAAAAATGTAAAAGAACGAGAAAGGTAGGTCAGTCACAGGTGATCTGTGAGAAGTGGGATGCAGAGGCTGTGCAGTTGTAAGCACTTTCAGAATCAGAATTAAAAGAATTTATTTGCTTTATTTTTGTTTGTTTGCTTTTTTTTCCTGACCCGCAGCCATCTCCTTTCTCTCCTCCAGATTCAGCCGTATGATAAGATTGCCGCTCGAGGCCTGCCGGACAATGTGGCCAACAGCTTGAACAAACTGGTGGTGGTGAAGCTGAATGGAGGCCTGGGTACCAGCATGGGATGTAAGGGCCCCAAGAGCCTGATCAGCGTCCGTAACGAGAACACCTTCCTGGACCTCACTGTGCAGCAGATAAAGGTACAAAAGCTTCACTCTAAAAGCCTTGAATGAAAGAAATTTTGTGAGACGTGTTTTTATAAGCAAGCAACGAAGCCACACTACCTCACAAACGGATTGCATGTAGGCTAATTGCCAATGTAATACCATTTAACAGTAAAGTGATAGCAGACTAAGGTTGTCTTACAATAAGAACTAACTAACATTTTCCTTGTGGATGTGTAATATTTGATTTGTTTGTTTGCTGTGCAGAAGCACGTAAAATGCTGAGATTACTGAAAGATCAACATTTAAATAAGATGAAGAAGATGATAATAATTCCCACTAACAGCTAGTAAAATTTAAAAGTGATGATTTTTGTTAAATTTTGTTCAATTTTAATTATTATTTTGTGAAGTGAAAATCTACCAGGACCGCCCCTCATTGTAGTAATGCAATATTTTGCTGTACGGCAGCCCTGATCCTGGTAACAATAGTGTTGCAACAATGTGTATTCCTGGAAAGCCTGAAGTCAAACCTCAGTTGTGACTTTCAGGCACAAGAACCTATTCATAGAAATGTAATTTGGTATTAAATGGTGGTTCAGTTGAGGCAGAAGGAACACTTTTGACAACACTGGTTATTTTAAAACTTTCTTACTAAAGTTGCAGATTCAGTCCATCAGTGTGGATAATTACTGAGAGCTCCTTCTTTCATATGAAATTGTTAGTGTGGCACTGATTTGAGAACAGCTGGGTGTTGCCTTCTGGTCTGCAGCCACACCAGCACTCATGATGTGGCTCAGACATCAGAGTAGACGGAGTAGGAAGTGATGTGTAGCCTGATGTAATATAAACATTTGCTCTGTGTATTGAGGGTTTGTGTTGTCTTGATGTTTCTTACTTTACTATAGAGGACGGCCAAAAAAATCCGATGATTCACGCGGGTGGGTTTGGATTTACCTCTGCCTTTTTCCAGTCTTACACGGCATGCGTATCATCCTCCAGAGACAAGCCTGACTTCATGCAGCCATGTGCTTCTGTGAACCAGAGCTGAGGGGCTTCTGAAAGGGGTTCAGTGTGAAATCTCAGGGTGCCGGCCAGTGCTGGCGACTGGCCGGGAAACAGAGATGTCTGTGTGCTGGAGGAGAGGAGTTGGTGTGATTATTTGGATCCGATCCTGCATTATTTCTGCAGCACTTAATCGTTCAGTAATTTTAATAAACAGTAAACCACATGTTCAAACGGCCTTTAGAAAAGTTATTTTCTAAACGAGGTTTGCGTTAGTTGTGACCATTGTAAGGGAATCTCCTGTGAGTAATATTAAAGTCTTTCATTGTGTTGTATAACTGAGTTTAATTGGGAGCTGTACGTTACCGGAGTGTTTCAGTGTTTCATAACAGCCTCCAGGGACACTCCTCTTCTCCCAGCACACTGCTCTCTGTGTCAGAGGCACTGCTCTCCATTTTCTGCTCAGTCTGGTCAGATTACATGCTGACTGAATCGACCTATTGAGAAGGGGGAAAAATGGATACCCCCCCCACACACACGCACACACAGACCCCCTTAACCAGGCCCTCCTGCAGGAGAGCGCACCTCTCAGCCACCCCGCTGAATCATGCATGTTTAATTTAGAGCTGAAGCATGTACCCTCTCACTGAGAGCGGACGTAACAAGGTCGGACAAAGCTCCGACTCAGGCGCCGCCTGGCTGCTGAAGATTTACAGCTTTCACCCGAGTGCCTCCCTCAAGAGCAGATTTGTTAAGTTAGCAAGTTCAGTTAAAGATGTGTGAAAGAGGGTAAACCTGTAAAGTTACTGCCTGGGTCAGGTCTCTCGTGTAGAAGACGTCCTGGTGAAATAAAGGTTATAATAATGCAATTTCACAACAATTAGGGCTTTGTTAACAAATACACACACGATCAGCATATCTACAGCAGCTCTGGAGGTAGAGCGGGTCATCCACTAATTGATTTCTGGCTCCTGCAGTCAAAACATCGAAGCTTCCTTTGGCAAGACACTGAACCTCAAGTTTCCCTTGATACATCCATCAGAGTGGGATTGATCCAAAAAGTGCTTATTGTGTGTAGAATAAAGCATTACATGACTGTAAACGTGGCTTGTAGTAGAATTGGTTTGAGTGCTCACTAAGAGTGGAAAAGGGCTTCAGAAATACCAGCTGATGTGCTCATCTCATGCAAGTACTGAACAAAACCCATGAAAGTTGTGGCTACACTTAGTCAAGAAAAGCTTCTTTGCTACAGTAACAACAGAATCTCACTGCTAGTACCACAACGCTAGGCTCATATGGTTCATATTTCTAGTGTTGATTGTCCCTCTGGGGAGGGGTGCAGGACAACCACAATCTCTTTTGCTTTGAGGATTCAATGGAGCCTGTGTCTAATACACATAAGTGGAGCTTTATTATTTGCTCACAGAAATCCGGTTCCAGACAGTGTTGATAAAAAACCATGATGTAATTTAACCTTTGCATAAACCACTGCATATAAAGAAAATGTTAAATTAAAAGATTGGGATGAGTTTAATGAGAATACTGTTGTACTCAGCTGTTAAATCAATTTCAATTCATTTTCCTGAAGATTTTTATAAATATATAGATGATGCATTAATTAGAAACAGATCCCACTGACAAAATACTGAAAAGAAAATCACTTTGTGTGTGATAAGTAGGAAGGGCACATCATTTAAAGGTGTATTTAATGTATCATTGTAACATTTAAAGGTGTATCAAAGTTAAACACAGGGAGTTTACCCATCTATACAACTCAGAAACAAGACATCTGTGTGCGTTAGAAGCTGTGTGAAGTTCATGACCAGCCAACACCCATCCTGGTTAATAAATGGAAATATGACGGTCATACTTTAGCTTAGAAAAGCCCACTCGTTCGTTGTAACTGTCACAGGCAGTAAATTTGATTCCTCACATCATCTTAGCCCCACTCATTCACAGCCCGCGTCTCATCCTCCGCCTCCTCTACTCATTTTAATTTTCTGTTATTGCAGTAAAGAAACTGCTTCCCATTCTACTCAGGTGTAATTTACATCCTTTGTATTCATTCAAAAGGCGAGTGGGCCAGTTTTCCTTTTGTCTTATGATGATCTGAAAATTCAAAATGTTTTTGCAATGTTGAATTTTCAAATTCCAAATGTCACAACGACACTTGAAGAGCTATTTAAACACAGACTTGAAAACACAGTGGCGAAAAAGTTTTATATGCAGTTAAATTCAAAGTAATTTGAATACAAAGTGCTTTCCTCAAATCCAGACACAGAGAAAAGCTGTTTTAAGATTGGCTGATCTTTCCTTTAAGCCTGTTGCTCTGTGCACCTCTTGACCACTTCAAGGTGTTGACTCACATTTGGTGTGACCCCTGTTCTGACAACTTGCAAATGCATCAGAACCTCAAACATGTGCAAAGATTGATCATAAAGTTTTGTGTAAAACTGTGTTAACTGTCGTGTCGCTACTGAAGCATCTACAGCAGGGCTGCCCAATCCCAGTCCTCGAGAGCTACTATCCTGCAGCTTTTAGATGCATCCCTACTCCAACACAGCTGAATCAAATGGTTTGACCTCTTCAGCATGCCATCATGTTTGGCAAAGGCCTGATAACAAGCCATTCATTTGATTCGGGTGTGTGGGAACAAGGATGCATCTAAAAGCTGCAGGACTGTAGCTCTCGAGGACCGGGATTGGGCACCCCTGATCTACAGCATCTAAGAGAGGGTTGTACCAGCAAGTGCACGCTCACCATGCCTTTAAAAGGCAGTGGCAGAAGTGTCTAACAGTGTCACTCACTACAAGGCAGACTCACCAAATTTGGCTCCCAGTTTGTTTTGATGGATACTTTACATAAATGGATGGAATGTGGAAGTGTGGCATAGAGATTTTCATTTATTTGTCTATGTTGTTTCCTTTTTAAAATGTTATCTGTGTCAGATCAGGTCACATTACATGCACAAGAGCACAAAGTTGTTTGGTTGTTGATGAGGTAAACGGCCCAACCTGACCATCAATTTCTGCAAAGATGCTTTGAGTGTTTCATTGCCTTCACAAAAGTCCTCCTTCAGACCCATTATTAGCTCTCCAGTCAGCCGGTTTTGGTGAATCCAAAAAATATTTGTTCATTTCCACCAATTTTCCTGAATTAAAAGGCATATTTACTATGTGAAATGGTCCTTGACAGTTAGCATCATCTCTGATTATAACACTGTTGAGCCCTTACACTGTTAAGAAACACTTGATGACCGTCTACTGCCTACTTCTCTTTTTTCTTTATTGGATAAATATGGATAAATGCATTTATATACTTTGTTTTTTCACCCTACAGCACCTGAACAAGACTTACAACACAGACGTACCTCTGGTCCTCATGAACTCTTTCAACACAGATGAAGACACAAAGAAAATCCTGCAGAAGTACACACACCACCAGGTCAAGATACACACCTTTAACCAAAGCAGGTGAGGGAGCACGATCGTAAAACAATGTCCTATTGAGTAACAGTGAGCCCAGCAAACACTCCCTGACACAGTTAGATATGCTGTATATGAACCAGTGCCAAAGGGAATAAGAGTCCATTTTTCTGTCAAATATTAAAGGAATATTGAATTGTGTAAGACAAATACACAGAAATCTCAATTTGTTTTAAGAAGTTAGCAGTATTAAATCTCCTGAATGAACTCATTTTCCCCTAAAATGAACTCCTGAGTGACACTCCGGCTTCTGAGCTCAGACTGTCAAGAACAGACAGGAGGTGTCATGCAATGTATGGAAAAGGCTTTTAATATTTAATGCCCTGGTGTCTCCAGTTTGTCAGGGAGTGGAACTTGCTTTTTACCATTTCGCTTGAATTATTTAAAGCTTGTATGTTTTGTGTACCTCAAGGAGTTATACTACAAAGCACTTTGGGACGGAAGCTGGAGGATTTAATGTCAGCAGAGGAAGAAGTGGTTGAATGGTTTAAATGTCAATCAACAGGAGAACAAAGGAAAGTCTGTGACCGAGGCCGTGACAGTAATTCATAAAAAGAGATTTAAATTCAGCTTCAGAGTCGCGTTATCTGGTGTTACACTTAATGAAGGGAAAAAACTGTTTGCTTTATATGCCCAACAAACCCAGAACTTCTTATAGTCACTTAAATAAAGCTTTAGACTCGAGCATGGAGTCAGCTGATGGCCCAGCTGATACTGTTCTACACATGAAACTGATAAACCTCATCTAGGGTACGAGGTTTCACTGAAGGTGCGTTAGCCCGCATATAGTAACTGCTTCCTATAAGAACTGGTTTGCAGCTCACCTCTATCCCAGTTCCTCTTGTTATACAGCACAGGTGTCGAACTCCAGGCCTCGAGGGGCGGTGTCCTGCAGGTTTTAGATGTGTCCTTGATCCAACACAGCTGATTTAAATGGCTAAATGACCTCCTCAACATGTCTTGAAGTTCTCCAGAAGCCTGGTAATGAACTAGTGATTTGATTCAGGTGTGTTGACCCAGAGTGATATCTAAAACGCACAGGACACCGGCCCTCGAGGCCTGGAGTTCGACACCCCTGTTATACAGTATTTAACTGAATCCATGTCATGTTCACTGGTGCTGATGCCAGCTCTGTTCTGTGCTGGGGTCTTGCTGCTTATTACTTTGCCTCCACCTTTCCATGAATGCATTTGGAAGGACAGACGCATATGCTGCCAAGTGTAAATGGCTAAAAGAAGAAAGTAAGTTTCGTTTTGACTATTACGTTCTAGACTGTACTGAAGGTTCTGCTCCTGCACAGAGCTGGAAAATCAGGTTTGCTCTAAATGCATACCTTGAGACGTACAGCTAGCCTGTTCTGCCACTTGTGTTAAAGCTTTGTAAAATGCATTCTCAGAAATGTGCTGTGCATACTAATGTACCTACATTCACCATGCACTAGTTGCTCACTAGCTTGGATACTGGTAACAAATTAGCTTTCTTTTTTCTTTTTTTACATTTTTACATTTTAAATCACATTTTAGATCAATGGTTAGCACTGTTGCCCTGCAACAAGAAGGTCCAGGGTACAGAACAGGGTAGGGCCCTTTAGTGTGGAGTTTCTGTTCTCCCAGAGTGTACGGCTTTTGTCTGGGAGTTGCGTTGCCAGGTTAATGGTGCCTGTGTCAGCCAGAAAAAGAGATTCTTTACCTCAAGAGTTTCACTTTCAGGCTAAATAAGGTTGTCTCATGTTTAATAAAACTCAAATTGGTAAGAGTGATAAACAGTTTAAATTGCACTATCTGTATAAGTTCACGCACCTAGCCATGCAGGCCGTCTTCAGAAATATCGGTTGTTCTAAAGAATTCATCGAATCAGAGCGTGGTGCTGTAACAGGATGCCTTTGTTGCTACAAGTCAGTTGTGAAATTTCTTCCCTCGTTGATATTTCACAATCAACTGTTAGTGCTGTAAGTGGCATTATTGCAAAGTGGGCACGTTTAGGAACGGCAGCAACTCAGCGGCAGACCACGTAAAGTTATGGCTCACAGCTGAATGAATAACTGAGTTCCAGATCTCCTCTGACATTAACATCAGCACAGAAACCACGTTTCACGAGATTCATGGCATGCGTAGCTATTTTATCCATATAGGGCATCTAATCCACTTACATTGAAGTGAAACTGAATTCTTAAAAAAGAAATCTGTCCACTTCCCCAAAGCAGTAGGGATTTTAACTGTGTGTGTTGGTCCATGGTTTTCTTTACTTTTACTAAAGCTCCTATTAAGCCTTAAAATAATAACTGGGTGTCCCTTTGAACAAAGCTCTAGGTTTTTCTTTCCATGATCATTCCTTCTTCAGTGTCTTCAGGAAGACAAAATCAGCTGTCATGTAAACATTGGATTTGTTAGATGTAGTTTTCCTAGACAGCGTGAGTACCTCTTGAATGTCTGGTTTTAATCGTGCCTGAGCACCAGAAACCAGAGGAGTCGTCAAGCTGATGTAAAAATGCAGGTTAGGTTTCACATTTTTTTTCTCTTTAGCCACATAACAAATTTATTCCGGGTGTTAAACCCATAAACGTTCAGCGTATCCCTCAGGAGAGAAGTCAGAAAGGACAAACTGCCCGATGAGATGGTTGAATACATGAAGTGACTTCTTTCCTTGTCCATGTCTTTGTACCCTGAAAGACGCTTCCCTCTGAGGCAGCACATGTCCAAGAAAGAAGGAACATTTTTTGTGGAAGTAATCAAATGTTCCCAGATTTGGTTTTAAGATGACATGAAACCTTTGAAGTGTGTGAACTTTCATCAGAAAGTCTTATCATAAACATCTTCCCAGAACAGTCAGATAGAATTAATCTTCCATTAAAAGGGCCGTGGTACCCCAACCCTGCAGCTCGTCTCACCTGACCAGCTCTGCTCTCATAAGCTTCCTCAAAGTGCTAAAAACACAGGCGGCTCATGCTCACCGGGCTCCTCACCTTGAGGTTTGTTAACTAAACCTGACTCAGATCCTTCGAACAAGCCCTTTGATCACTTTAATGCACACTGCCATCATGGCTTGGACTCTTTGGCGTGTTGCCTTCGCTGCCTTCTTGGAAAAAGCTAAAAAGTTTGCTTGTCGAGGGAGCAGTTTGAAGTCCAGGCAGTGATATGAAAAGGAGAAATTTAGATAGCAGTTGGCATGCTGGCTTGGTGCAGAGTTTCCGAGGATTTACGTCAAATGTGGAGCAAAAATGATTTCACACTTTTTGTTTTGTCTTTGTGGTGTTTGTCTGCTTAAGTCTGAGATTCACAGCTCTGCAGCTCCACAGATAAATGAGTCAACAAGCTTGTTTTCTTCCTTCCATACATATTATAAGTTGTATAAGGAGATAGACTTTAACCACATCAACAGAAGAGAAGGATGTGCTTTATATAGTCAACCTTTTCTGATTTTTCTCCTGTTGAAGGACATTTCGTTGTGCACCTCTGAAACACTTCCAAGAATACTTCTATTTTTAGATCCATCCCTACAGGCTCCTCTTCCTACTCCCTGCATGTGTGCAATATGTGCTGGATCTGCTCCAGTGTGTCAAAATGATAGCTGTTAACTGGAAGTTGATTTGAAGGTTTTAACAACATTACATGAAGCCAGTAGCACATACATGGCGCCATAGCATGCACCACAGTTTAGGTCATTTCACATGTACATGTCGAGATGTTAGCGATATCTACATTGATGGTATTACCTCGGGGTCATTGTATTGTGTCTTGTACATCCTTCTGAATCTTGTACTCCTTATTATTTGATATTTGTACACAGTTTGGTCTAGAACATGAGGGCTGGGGGCCATAATTGGCCTGTCAAAGACTCCAATCCAGCCCACTGGATGGGACTGGAAAAAAATGAAGGACGATAAAAAAAACTGAGCCGGAACGGGTCGTAAAATAACCCCCGAGCTTATCGTGAACTCTTTTTCTTCATCAAGGTACCCTCGCATCAACAAAGAGTCTCTCCTTCCCGTGTCCACAAACTTGAGAATGACCGGGCAAAACGCAGAGGGTTGGTACCCTCCCGGTCACGGCGACATTTACGCCAGCTTCTACAACTCGGGCCTGTTGGATCAGCTGATTGAGCAGGGCAAAGAGTACATCTTCGTGTCCAACATCGACAATCTGGGAGCCACCGTCGACCTCCACATCCTGCACCACCTGGTCAGCCAGCCTAACGGCAAACGCTGCGAGTTCGTCATGGAGGTGACGGATAAGACCCGCGCTGACGTGAAGGTATGATGAAGGTTATTGTGGATGTGAGATTCTGATTTATCCCCGTTGCATTAACAAGGACATAAACTATTTTTGTGGTAATGTAACCAAAGTAAAGAAGTTTTTGTGGTTTCTTACTTTCCTCTGTTAGCAATAAGCCTTGACATCATTTCTGTCTCTAATGTTTCTACTAATGTCTCAATACAATGAATGTGAATGGAATTTGTACCCTTTACTTTTCACTGATAAAGAAATTGCCCCAAACTCGAACAGCTTCATCAAAGTAGCACAGTTTTTTTTGTTTGTTTGTTTTTTTTAATTTAAGTGAACAGAACCTTTAATTTTTCTGTGGTTAAATCTATGTAATCTTTGTATTATTAAGATCAATATGTGTCTGAATTAGTTGTAGTTATTATAACCTTGTGAACTTTCACTGTTACTGGGTTACACTTTGGAGGTTTGCATTTCCTGTAGGTGGTTATTGGCTGGCATTTCAGTGTAACCATTATTTTTTGCAAACCTAACAAACCACTTTTAATTTCCCAGACTTCGGCTTAATCTCTCAGGTCAGCGAGTGTTCTGTAAAAATGCTGCTTGTGATTTCCAGGGAGGCACGCTGATCCAGTATGAAGGGAAGCTGCGCCTGTTGGAGATCGCCCAGGTGCCCAAAGCGCACGTGGACGAATTCAAATCAGTTACAAAGTTCAAAATCTTCAACACCAACAACCTGTGGATCTCTCTACCTGCTATCAAGAGGCTGCAGGAGCAGAATGCAATGGACATGGAGATCATAGTCAACCCTAAGGTGAGTGAAGAGGAGCCAAACATAAGGCACATGGCTTACTGCACGTGCAGCGTGGAGTAATTCAACATTCAGTGAAAGTAAAAGTTAAAAATGAATAATCTCTGTAATAATCTTTGTAACCTGCATGCCATTCTGTATGGCATTCGCCCACATTTCTATGATACAGTGACATATTTCGCATGTTTAATATCCCGCAGATACTTTCACAAACCTTGCATTGACCTCATTGTTCAAAACTGTCTTTAATATGAGCTTCTGCCACCGCAACAGTGTGCAGATGACAGAAAATGAAAGCATTTTTCTTGCTTTAATATTCTCTGTCGATTGAGATGAGTTGAGGATAGTCAGCAAAGGATTTGGTCCTCATTCAGAGGTAATAATTCACCCACCAGCAGCAGCTGCGACACAACTGGGACTCATACCTCAGGTGGCACTTTAAAAGCTTTGCTGCATTTTAGATTGATTTTTCTCTCCTTGGAAGATTTTTAGAATCCGTTTGCTCCATAACAAAAAAACATAAATGTTCTTAGAGAACACAGGGAACAAAAACAGTTCTTTATTATCAAATTAAGGTATTCGTTTAACCAGGAACTGTTGAGTAATTAGCGGTTCTTCGAATGGTGCAGATGATAAGTGAACTTCTGTTTGTCATCCTTGATTCCTTTCATTCTGTACACTGCTATAATGTCATCGCTCTTCCAGCAAGCCTGCTCTTGTCACCACATGCGTTTTAGAAATTGTTATATCCTTTAAAAGCTACGCTGCGATTGATTTCGGGATGAAATGCAGGAGAAGATGGAAGTTAAAACTGGGAGAAATGATTTCATGTTAACGTTGCACATTTCACTGTTTCCAAAGAGTCCAAACTGTGATTTATTTGTGGCTCACAGTACACTGACAAGTGTAGTTAAAGGAAAACTAACTAACTAACTGAACTCTGCTTAGCCTGTTTCTCCTCCATGCTTCACTTTAAATAAATTGCAAAGGGCATCAAAGAGAAATGAGTCATAAATCTTCTCGTTCAAGCCCTCTGGAAATTTCAAAGAGGGTTCACACGAGGGCGGCTGAGTGTGCAGAAGAAACTGTTTCGTTTCAGTGACCAGCCAACCTCCCAGAATATCATCATCTGTCCGGTTTAACCATGTAAAGTGGAGCAGGGACAGATCTGCTCTTCCCCCACACAGACCATCACTCATGAATAAATCATATCTAACAAAACGCTTGCTGAGGACACCCATATTTTGAAGCTTCTCTCATCTCCGCTTCATGTTTCTGCCATCCTGCACAGCTTCATTCCCACATGTCACGTGACAATTTTCCACACAAAACAATCCAGCTCATCTGCTGTGCTTGGACTAAAGTTTCAGCTGCATGTGATGTGAACTGTCCCGATTCGTGATTGAGGTGAGAGACAAACGACTGCTGGTCCAAGTGCGTCAAAACAATGATTTTATTAAACACATGTGTGGAGGAAATGCATCATCACAATCCTCAGCATGTGCCAGGGTATAACGCCCCCTCATGCGTCAAAGCAGATACATAAGATGCATAAGTTACAGTAACCACAGCTCCACGCCAGGTGCTTCCTGTTGGTCTTCTTACTCTCGCTTATCTTTGGAACATCAGAAAAGCATCCTACAAAAACTGTCACTTATGCAGGCACAAAATGCAGTTACAAGCAAAATATGTCTGAACTCTTACCTAGAAATGAGTCTATATAGAGTGTGTGTGTGTGTGTGTGTGTGTGTGTGTGTGTGTGTGTGTGGGTGTGTGTGTGTGTGTGTGTGTGTGTGTGTGTGTGTGTGTGTGTGGGCAAACTGTGGGTGTCTCGACCTCAGTGCACTCTGTCTCACCTCTCACCTCGCCAACTAAAGCTTATAACCTCTTACCAGACAGACATTTGCAATATGTGTAATAACATAACTGAAACTATATGTGTAATATATTGAATAAATGTTTTAATCAACTGCTCAAAGCTTAATAAAAAGGATATAAGAGAATAAACATGATATTAAAATGCTATAAAAAGATATAATCCCCACAGAATGTTCTGCGCTTCCTCCTCTTACACACATGTATTGCTCTGGACTTGAAAAGCATCCAGCATCCACCTATCCTAATTTGGATATGTCCTTTTTTTTCGGTACAAGTTCCTCTCTTTGAGCAACTTCCTGTGTGGGCTGCAGCCCCCTGGTGGGCAGTCAAAGTACTGCAGTTGGGCTGCTAGACATAATTTATAGTAAACTGTTTTTGTTTTTCTAATTTTTTGAAGTTGCTGATATATCTTTAATATTTTTAATAATTTTCATATATATATATATATATTTATAATCCAGGTTATTAATCAGGTGCCACATGTAAAGCTGTTAATGGAGCATCAACCTTAAAAAAACTGTCAAGATCAAAATTAATCATTTTAAAAAAGCACTTCATGTTAGGCTCATGTGTTGATGAGAGGAGGCTGCAGAAGAGTCACTTGGCATCTCCTGGGAAGACGCTTATACATTCCCGATGGCCTTGACCAACATAAATGCATTCTCAATATTGTTAGCATAATTATAACTTAACTGTAACTTCAACCCCCAAAAATAACTCTTACACCCTGACCAGGTCTTTGAAGAGAGCCAGGCAGGCATAAAAAAAAAACAGGGGTGACAAAGTCAGTTTAGGTTATTGGTCAACTTCAGACAAATGTGATCCCAAGAAACCTCCTGGCTAACAAAACATACAGTACTAAGAAAAAGTCTTCTTTCCTATTTTACATTACACTGTGGTGTAATGGTTTTTGTTGTTGTTGTTGTTTTTAAAGTGGTCTGAAGCAATAGTTCTTCAGGGCTTTGAAAGGTCTTTCAAAACTTCTGTGAGCAGAAGCTTTTTCACTCACTTTCAGTCCCGTCCTTGCGCCGGACCATTTATAGATGGATGTTTTTGTTTGTTAACTTACTTAACACTGAAATATGAAGCATTCAAGCACCTAACTCAAGAGATGAAGCAGTATCATCTATGCACAACAGGCAACTTAGAATTTAAAATTGGTTTACTGCTATCTTTAACCCTTTTGTTACTAGCAGCCTGTCGTAAAAGCACATCTTTGTTAAGTTGAATTTACAAAAATTGCCAAACTGTTTGACAGGCACAAAATGGTAGTATGTTTGCAATGAAAGGTGATTCCTCAAGAGCTATTTGCCAAAAACTGTAGAGTGTCTTTAAATGTGGAGTAAATGTGGCCCTTCTTAGATGCTTAGATGATTGGATTTGTAGCTTATATTTGCCCTCTTTTGACAACACTAACACAATAACGGGTTCCTCCCTCGTTCAGTGAGGTTTGCACAGGTCATGGTAAGTCAGAAGAAAAAAAGGAAAACTTGACTGATGAAGCAAATGTTTGAGTAAATGCTTAATCAGTGAATTTAATCTTGTACCTAATTTGTCTAAATGTGACTTATTTCCCACATATCTTTGTTCTTTAATGCCCTGCAGAGCCCTTGTTGAGAGCAATCCTGATTTAAAGCAGCACAGCAAACAAATGTAACTTGCTGTGACTTTGTGTTATTTCGGTCCTGCTCACTCACTGGCACTGCGGGCCTCTGCCCCCCTGATGGGGGGGAAGTATCGCCTCAGGCCGTCCAAAACTGCAGCCAGTGTAATAAATTCACAGCTGAACCGCAGCCTCCTCCCTGATTATTGCTGTCTTGGCCCGATAGGTACAGATGAAATTTTCCACTCCTCATGTGCAGGATTGCAAGTGTTATGCAAACTGGACATAACTTTGCAGGTGCTGTGTGGTTTTACATAAGTGTAGGTCCCATCTCGATAAGAGTACAGCACTAAAACCACTCAGTTTGAGGGTTCAGTTTCAGTTAGAGGCCTGCACACTGTAGAACTGTGTGTTTAATCCTAATTAGTGGACATTCATTTTATCTTAAGTGCCTCTAAACCACAACAGCGCAAAGTACAGATGATCTGAAGGGTAATATTATTAGTTGTACAGGTGGAGTGTTTAGTAATGGAAAAATAATAAAATAAGTAATGGAAGGAGATGTCACCACTGACATCTGGACCGCCATTGGCTTAAATCACAGTTCGACTCTTGTTTATTTAATTTGGATGAAGAAGCTTCTCTGTTGGGAGTTGCTGCATAATTTAAATGTAGTTTTATAGTAAAGACTGTACAGTTAGGGGCACAAACGTGCACTTTTGTTTTTATTAAAAAAACATGTAACGTGTCCTCTCCCCTCTCCTGTTCATCAGACGCTCGACGGCGGGCAGAACGTCATCCAGCTGGAGACTGCGGTGGGTGCGGCCATCAAATGCTTCGACAACGCCCTGGGAATAAACGTTCCCCGCAGCCGCTTCCTGCCGGTCAAGACTACGTCGGACCTGCTTCTGGTCATGTCCAACCTGTACAGCCTGGATGCCGGCTCGCTCAACATGAGCCCGAAGAGAGAGTTCCCGACAACGCCGCACGTCAAACTGGGCAGCTCCTTCACCAAGGTAATCACGCCAGCTGTGGAAACATCGGAACATCTGTCACTGCGTGTGCAGCCTGTTGATCTCACGTGTGGCTGCGATGATATTAAAGTGCCGAACTTTTTCAAAGCCACTGATTAAATGTTGATTAAATACTTCATTAGAGATTTGTTATGACCATTGTGATGTTAAATGGGATGCTAAAGTTGGGTCGTAAAATAAATAAATTCTTCCAAGAACGTTTCTGAGTAATCTCCTGATCCTCAGAGGTTACACCACTGATGCCCCCAAATTTCTGATTCTCAGTGACGGTATTTAGTCAGTAATTGAATTTGCCAAAGGATCTGTGGGGTTGAAAACCTCACATACAGATGACTTACTTTTCTCTGTGTCTGCGCTCAGGTTCAGGAATACTTGATCCGCTTCGAGAGCATTCCCGACATGCTGGAGCTCGACCATCTGACGGTGTCCGGAGACGTCACCTTTGGGAAAAACGTGTCGCTTAAGGTAAAGCTCTGCAGTCAGATTCGTTTTTTAAGACGAGGAAACCTTGTTTTCTTTTGTTCCATAATGCCAGCATGTGAGCTACAGTTGTTTTCATGGCCACAAAACGTGTTACAGCTATTTAATTTACTCTGAATATAACGACGTTGAGCGTAATAAATCCAGAAAGCTCGCCGACAGTAAAAGAAACTTGCTGTTTTAGTAATGTGGTGGAGAAGAAGTGCAGAGAGAATTGAAGACATTAATTTCAGACTTTGAACCTGCGTGCTTCTGTTTTTGATTTACGGCTTTAATTCAATTCAGTCCTGTCATCATTTCTGTCTCTACAGGGCACCGTCATCATCATCGCCAACCACGGAGATCGGATCGATATTCCGGCTGGCTCCATGCTGGAAAACAAAATCGTATCCGGCAACCTCCGCATCCTGGACCACTGAGGCCTTCTTCACCCTCATCGTGTGACGTAGTCCCCCGTAATCCCTGTCATGTGACCCATTTGACATGTTGACACGACATCAAGAGATTGTGAGAGGATATGACTTTTTCCCCTGGAGGCTGAGTGTGATTGCATGTGCAGTGCTACCCTGCAGTCTCAGCATTAAGAAGCAGTTCGCCTGCTTTGATGGTTGGAAGCAGCTGGGATATACTGCCCTCTGCAGGCTGTTCATCACATAACCTTTAAAAGTATTACTAATGAACTAATCTTAGCGATCACTTTAAACACTTTTATCCAGATTAGGGAGAAAACAACTCACCCTTTGTTTTCTTTTCTTCTATATTGATTTTGACTTTTGTTGGCCAGAAAATAAAAAATAATATATTCTAAATAGGTAGGGATAATATACTGATATACTCACATATTATTAGGGACACTAGTGGGAGTACAGTTTGGAGAACAAATTAGATTTGGGGTTTTTTGCACTGCTAATGCAATCACAAAGATGAAGTCATGGGCATTACGGGAAGGTTTTGACCTCTTATTTCAAGCACAAAGACGTCTCTGCTGGACTCGATACGGTTTCGCAATTTAGCCGCAGCAAAACACACCGAGTTGTGTAATGTAAACCCAGCACAGGGTCCCGATTTACCACTGAGTTCAACAATACAACAGAAAAGGATGTCTAGCAGTGCAAAAATGACTTACTGGTACATCAGATTTCTTAGAAACCCAAGTGGAAATGCAGCGCTTAGCACTGGTTTGGAGAGGTGTCATTAGGAACCTCTGCTGGATTTTCAGGGCTAATGCAAATGTCATTTTATTAGGGAGGAAAAAATTCAGATATCAGGCGTGTCAGCAGTTTATTCCACAAACTTGCCCTCAGTCTGCCCTCAAATGTAGCAGGTAACGGCGACAAAGTGGATTCAAGCACCAAAAATAGAGAAGTCAGTTGAATTCTCAAGTGTACAGCTTAAAAGCTTCTTCAGAACTTCTTTGCTTCGTTTCTAACTAAAATATTTTATAATTGAAACATTACAACACTGGTGTTTATGACAGTATACAAACACTGAGGGTACTTTTAAGGTTTTCTGCTATTTTATGAGACAGAATAAGATTCTCTGCATTCATTTTCCAACAGAAATGGAACATTTGGTCTGATTTAGCGACTCTTATGCGTCCAAATTACCAGCACCATTAAAAAAAAAAAGGTACTGTGGTTAATACAGCTGTGTCTGCCTATATTCATCCAATGAGAATGAATTTACACTTCATGTATTTTACAACAGTGAAAGCTCCTTTTACCCTGGGTGCACACCCTGTCAGTCCATCCTGCACCCCTGCGCTCCTGTTAGTAAATTATTCTGAATCAAATGTTTATAAATGAGACAAAAAAGACTTCTAAAGTTGACTCTGCTCAGTGGACTCGGTGTAATTTGACACTAAGATCATTTAAAATCATCAAGTCTAGCTGACTTCATCTGGCAAGCCTCTTGAAAATGAGCTTTTAAATGGATAATTGACTTTACCACAAAAGACTTTGGTACTTGTATCCACTTGTGAAAGGTGTCCCGGGAGTACTAATTTGTCGGCTGCACTATGAGGATGGACGGACCTCTGTAGTACCATCGGCTGAGCTGTGACGCTGCAGAGAGCTCTGAGAGCATTGTTAATGGAGGCGAGGCTGCTCTGCTGCAGAAACTGAATGATATCATTTTTTTTATGCCTCATGCTCAGTAAAAAAAAACACAAACAAAAAAGAAACCGTATAAAGCTTTTTTCATATCGGCACATTTTTTGACCAAAATGTTCTGAGATTGTCTGATGTTGTCGGATCAACTGATTAAAACGATCAATAACATCAATATAACCAGCTCTCCAGTTTATATAGTATTGATGTAGCTGATACAGACTTCTCACTGACTTTTAACTGCATTACCATCCACAAGTCGGTGTTTGCATGTGTTTAAAAACACTCAGAACCGTTGGAAACATGAGAATAAATGGCAAAGGCGACGGCTTGTTATGCATGTGGCTCAAGTGAAGCTTGGCTTTCATTAGTTTCAGGTTTCACTAGTGTCATATCACCGTACCCTCTCAGTTTATTGGCTTCAAAGGATGAAGACCCAAAGATATTACATTTCAAGCAGCGTTCTGATGGAAATGTGACTTTTATGTCCTTTGCTGCACTCTCCTGCTGATTTTTTTTTTTTCACTACAAGCCGCATCTAAAATGCGTGAGTCGTCATTAGATCTGTTGTTGCCATGAAGATTAAACAGAGCAGCTTTAAGCTGAATTAGTGGAGCCCACGAAGCCCGCAGCGACGTCTGTGCTGAGAAATAATTGGGTACTGCGATATGAGATTTTCTGGGACAGGATGTAATTTTAAAGTGAAGGCCTTTATTCGTCTCTGTGTGGAGTAGCTGACGAGAACATCACAGTGTTGTGTATTTTTTTTTTTCCGGTTTGTTTTCACCTTCATGTCATGTGAAACCTCAGCGTTTCTCCGGTTTCTCTGCCCATCCCATCACTCAGCGTTATTCCTTCACCCAGACACGAGGTGCTGTGTTTTCTGCAGTGTTGGGGCACACACACATACACATATTCATTTACATATGTACATGTACACAAAGTTTCAGTGTGAGTATACTTGAGATGGGTCCGACCCGTGCGGACCGAGAGCCCGAAAGCAATAAGTGTTGATCTGTGACAGCGACGAGGTCTCAGCCCAGACCGCTTCTGCCTCTTCAGAGGTGAATAAAGTGCAATATGAAATACTGAACACGTGTACTGTGTCATCTGTCCGTCAGTCAACTCTTGAGAGATGTCGGCAGAACATTTATTAATGTTTCTGGAAGGTTTGCAGAGAAATCCAGAACACTGATCCAGTTTCTTTACTCATTCTAATCATTTGTATGACCACCTGGTGGCCTCTGAGTGTAAAAGCACCAGAAATCATGTGTATGGAGCAGACAGGGTATGAATTAATAGTTCATAAACTCGACTCATAAAACAATCAACTCAATGTGCAGAAGCAGCTGCTTGACTTCGTCTAAAATCTCTGTATTTAAGAGATACCAACTGACCCTGAACTAGGGTTGGACTGTCTTCTTCCGGTTATTTCCTTTACAGGTCGCCACAGCAAATCATCTGCCTTCATCTCACCCAATCCCAGCACCCTCTTCTGTCATATCAACTCTCTTCATGTAATCCTTCACTACATCCATGAACCTTTTCTGGGGTCTCCCTCTTTCTTCCTGCCTACCAGCTTCAGTATTCCTTTGTCCAACATATCCACGAACCTGAGCTGTCCCCCTGATGTACTTCTTTCTAATCCTGTCCATCCTGCTCACTCCCAGTGAAAATCCTAATATGTTCACTTGTCATCTCCAGCTGTGCCTTTTGTCTTTTTCATCTCCAAACCATACATCCTAGCAGATCTCATCAGCATCTTGTAAACCTCTGACATAATTTTTAGCAGTTAATTTGAAAGACTACCTAAATTTATCTATTTAAGAGTTGATTCAAAGTCAACAGAACAAAAATGAGACTTCTGTAGAATCAACAGGTAAATCTGATCGAGCTATTTCCTCTCACTTCTATTAACTTGTTGTGTAAACTGTAGTTTTTGTTTCAGTTAACTTACATTTTGTTTAATAGCTTTGCACTGACGATGCAAATAAAACCCAGCACACGGGGAAATGTGTCACTTTTACACTTTATTGTTTAAAGTCGTTTACAAAAAAGTGTTTGCTGGAAACATTCATTGCTTTCGCCTTTTACAAGCACAAATACACTCCGAACAGGAGAGGAGGAAGAGCGAGTGGAGGGCGGGGGCGGGGTCAGGCCTGTGTTCGTGTAGAGAAACAGTACAGAGACGGAGGGAAGCCCTTAAAAATCACACACTTAATCCATGACAGAAGACTGGGTTAGAGAGACAGGACGCACATCTGAATCCAGATTTGACTTCTAACTCGTGAGGTATCCTCAGTAGACCTTAACTGTGTGTGTGCGTGTTTGTGTGTGTGTGTGATTCATATTCGTATTTTCTCCCTGAGGTGAGTTAGTGTGTTGCACTCTGAGGATACTGATGGACATTATCTGGAGAGCTACTTAATGTGTGGACACATGAGCACACGTACAAACTGCACACATACAATCAACACGAACGTATAAATTACAGCTTCGCACTCACACGCACTACTTTTACCTGCAGATACGAGTGTGTCCACGCAGACCTGAGGCTCTGTGTGAACAGTTTGGAAGTGACTGGTTAGTAAAGCTGCTTCGTTTTCTGGAGGTTTCTACAGTTTGAGTGTGTGTCTCGTTCGAGTGAAGTGGGCGAACAGCAGTGATGTTACAGATGTGTGCAGCAGGAGAATCTGTGCTTTCACATAAAGCTCCAAATATCAGGACAGTGGTCTCCAAGGTCAGCATTAACTTTTCAAACAGCATCTGATAAATGATCTGTAGTAGCTCATCCTGAGCTTTCGATCACAGCACACAGTCTTCCTCAGCACATGAAGTTGGATTCGGTTATTTTGCATCTCTGCTTTACGTTGTTTTCGAGGCAGAGCTTCAAACTAGTTTCAGAATTTTTTTTTTTTTCCCCTTCGACTTTTAGCTCTGTGTGATGTCATTCAGAGCTGACATCCCACCTGTTGTTTGCATAGCCAATCAGAAGAAAGTTGGCTTAATTTTTTTTTAAAAAAGGGATAAAACTGCTTGTTTCATGCAGAGGACGAACTGATGGGAGGAACCAAGGCACAGTAAAAGATAAGGATTATTTTGAACTGTGACTCATGCAAAGCTACTTTAAGAGAATCTAATCTGGAGCATCTGTAGTGCTGCGACTTTTAAAAAGAAAAGTTTAGACAAGAAAAATGAAAAATATTTGTGGTTTAGTGCAAGTCTGATGTTATTAGAGGAATCAAATCTCAAGTTTAAGGTCACGTTTCAACGTCGTTTACTCTTTAGTCAAAGGATTATCAGACGGGTTGGTGGGCAGATATTAAATAACTAATCATACATAACTAACCCGTGCACTGGAGCTGAAACAAAAATCTCTCCTTAAAAAGCTCTACACTTAGTTTGAACATGCAGTTATTGTTCACATTTAGTTTCTATGATAAGTTCTGAAGCAGTTTGTTATCCGCTTCCAATGAATCAATACAAAATTAATAAAAATAAAGAGGCATCATTGTGCGGTTTTTCCACTGTGTTTATCTCGAACCTGGTTGTCTCGAGTCTGACTAACTCGTCCATCCTGAAGCTAAGATGTCAGCAGAGAAAAACTTCTTTCCTCAGATTAAGTCCCATTAAAGAAACTCCAGGGCGTAAGGCGTTTACAGATTTAAGCATTTATGTGGTTTAAATATAAAGATAATAGAGTGCAGTTGGTTGTTTAGGTCCTTATTTAAAGTAAAAGCATCAGTGGAAGACAGTTTTCATCATATGTAGTAAAAGGTTATCGAATAATATATTATATTTAAATCAGAGCTCTACATCGGAAACAAACTACAAAACGAGGCCTTTCATGTCTCACACTTTATGCTCTACTCTTCTATTTTCTCTCATAAAGGCTTAAAATGACTCAGCACTATATTGAAAGAAATGTATATATAATAGCTCTCCAAGTTACTATATTAACTATAAAGTTAAGAAATTAAGCCTAACAGCTCTCATTCTTGTTTTTAATCAACATAAAATATAACTAAGAGCAGCCCTGATATCTGAAGCTCGACCTTGTTTGGAAAGCACAAGTTAACACGAAGCCCTAATGAGCGCACACGCGTGCATAAAGAGAATTGTGAAGCTTAAAGCCGTGCGTGTGTGTGTGCTTGTGTCAAACCTGAGTCAAACCACAGCAGATGTGTTTGTGTCTCCTGCTTTTTGTTGCTCGCTCGATGCGTAAGACAGATGGGACTTCCTGCACTGTGACGATTCACGCCAGAGGAGGAGAAACCTGCTGAAATGACTTCAACTGCCTCGGTTTGCATACTTTTAGGTGTAGCTGAACAAATAGTGCGTAGATTTTTTTCCAGCCTCCAGTAGGGCACGTGACAAGAAAAGGATTTTAAAATACTGGCGTAACTGCAATGCTGTCAAAAGGACGTCTAATACATTCGGAGCTCAATACTAATACCGATCAGAAAACCGTACCTCATCTGGCACAGTAGTGATCTTGCTTTGACTGTGCAGGTGTGCCTCAGACATCCCAGTTATCACGCAGAATAAACCAGACACTGTCCACACATGAAAAGCATCTGACCAGAGGGGTGTGCTGAGAAGCAAGGTCAATGTGGCCGCCAGGCTTTCTTCAATAATACAGTCTGCCCAGCGCATTCACTTCTAACCATATTCACTGTAAAAGATGGCTGAAAACCGTATGCCTGCATTCATTTAGGTAGCCAGCAGGGGGCGACTCCTGTTTACAAGAACACTTTCTGGTTGTATTGGAGTCAACGCTTTCCTGATACCTTAATGGGCTCAGTTGCTGGTTTCAGGTCATATATGCCCCCCATATGCTTTCAGGTCAAGCATAAAATTACTATTTATACATGTCCTGCATCACCAGCTGAATGCAAGAACTCCCAATGACAATGCAACACATTTTGCACGTCTTCCTTCACCAGTATAATTAAAAGGTACTCCTTCCTTCAAAACATTACACCTAACGTAGTCTGGAGCAGATTATGTCACCAGCATAACGTACCATGTGATCTAGACATGGTTAACAGAAAGCCATCTTTGTGACTTGAGGATAAGGATACCTCGCTGATCCACTAATCTTGGTTTGCAGTGCACCCCTCTGGTCTGGTTAGCGTGTGTGTCTGCAAGTGTGTGTGTGTTTGTGTAAAGTATAACATTAGCTACATGGCTGCGTAGAGATTCACTCACTTACCCACAAAGATATTTCACTTTAAAGGGAGGGAGCAGTCATTCAGGCCATTTGCAAAGATGCCTAGAAGACTCGGTTTCCCATAATGCTTTAGGAGGTTTCAGTTCCAGATCTATTGCTTTGCAAGGGAAAAGGCTGTGGTGATGGCTAATGGGATAGAAGAATAACTGAAGGGTTTAAACACACGACGTGAGAGGACGGGGTGTATAAATATGACAGATCTGAGTGGTGAACAAGGCAGAGAGAGACAGAACAAAACCCTCAGAACACACCTAAAACTTTATATCTGGTTAACAATATACTGAAGTTTCAAAATAAAACGCTTAATAGTATTGAAGTTATCTGACAGATAAAGGATGAAGCGATGCTCCAGGGCCATAAATAAACATCTTTGTTTAAATTAGCTCTAAGAGATGTACACAGATGTATAATGCAACAATAAACATGAATAAAACCGCAGGTTTGCGCTGCGGTGTGATAGTAATTTAGATAAATACTGTTGAAAGTCCTTTCCAAGAAACAAACGCAAAAAAGGTTTGACCCAGCAGTGTTCTTTGTTTGGTTTTTCTGTCTCTGGTTTCACATGAAAATATAGAAATCTTTGTCGTCATTCATGAAAAAGCAATACAAAGGTCACTTAAAAATGAGAGAGAGACAAAAAGTCCAGAAAAAAACAGATCTGGGAAGGTCCCCGTGTTAAATACGGGGTCAGCATCCAAATAAAACCTCCAAAGAATGCTGGGAAGTTCCCGCCGTTAGTCAAGGGGTCCCTGGAAGATGAGTCTGACGTAGCCCTGCTCGCCGCTTAGCTGCTGGGCGCAGAAGGGGCAGGCGGCGTGGAAGGTGTGTGTGCCGTGAGGAAGCGGGATCTGACTCCAGAAGGCCGCAGTCTTCTCCGAACAAACGTGACCGCAGGGGTTAAAGGCGTGAGTGGGCGGGGCCGCGTCCACGTAAAAGCCCGCCTCGCAGCCCAGCCACAGCGCCACGTACGGCCCTTTGGTTCTGCACATGGGACACTCCCTGAGGCGGCCCTCCCGGCCCTCCCTCTCCTCGCGGTGGTTGCCCCAGTTGTGGTAGCCGTGCACGTGACCGCACTGGAGGTAGACCCAGGGCTGCTTCTCGTCAGGTGTGTCTTTGCGACGCATTGAGGGAAAGGCCAGCGTGTTGAAGCCCACGGGACATTGCGGGCGGGCCGCGTTGATCTCCTGCCGCAGCGCCTCCAGGTGTTTCAGGGTGGGAGTGCGGGCCAGGCCTTCAGCAGTGCGCCACAACAGGGTGGCGCCGCAGAGGTCGATAAGGGAGCCATCAACGAGCTCCTGACTCTCCGTCTCCACCTGAAAGACAGAGGAAGGGTAGCAGGTTATACCCAGAGTCAAATTTAGACAAAACTGAGATTTTCACCCGCAGGTAAGAAAAAACTTTCAACAACTTTTTTTTTAAAGCTAAACAAAAAAAAGTGGAAAGGTGATGATTTATTGTGCACAGAAGACCTTAATGACACCGAAAGCCTACAGCATTATGTCCGACAGGAGGTGGTAGGAGCGGCAAGATGATGAAGTGCTATTGGTTCTTGGCCTCCCTGAGCAAGTCCAATAAAAAAAAATCCAAGAAAGGTCTCAATTGTCCCAAATTTAGATATTTTTCAGCACAAAGCAATAATGAAAAAAAATTATAACTGGATTCAGTAACAAATGAGATTGCACACAAAAGTAAAAGTTAACTCTTTAGCATATTTTATGACCCTTAAATATCGAACCAATTTCTTCACCCTGGACTGGCTGCTGGTCAACTACCAAGCAAACACAGAGACAGACAACCACACCGATGACCAATTCAAAAACACCACTAATGTGTGTCTTTGGAGAAGAACGGGAGGTTTAAACCAACACTTTTGGTGACAGTGTAAACTACTGCATTGCAGTGAGCCTATACTTTAAAAATAAACTGAACACTTAAGGATCTGTGGCTTTCCCAATAGTTAGCTTTTAAAAAAGTTGTCGTGGTCCGTGCAAATGCAAATCCACACTGAAGTTTACTGGAAATTCTCACCTTTGAACAAGTCGTGTTCACTCATTTCATTTGTTTTTATTGTCATTTTATTGTATGGTTGTAGCAACCTAGTACTTTACTCGCTATAGCTACTATTAGAAACAAAAGATTTCACATTCTGAAATTCGACTTTTCTGACAGCAGCTACACTCATGATTCAAATATCCTGTGGAACATGTGACATTTTATATAATTAAAAAAACACATTAAAACGTGTTTGTTTAGAAGGTTTTAGCCTTTGTGCACCCTGCAGGAAGAATTTAACATTTTCCAAATACAGCTGGTTTTATTTTAGTCATTTGAGCCTTTGCATTCAGTGACCTCTCCTGAGTGCCACGCCTCTAACCCAGTGCATGCTGGGATACGCTCAACCCTGAAGGTTGGAAAAGTATAAAACATGAAACACCGGGGCTTGCAGGATCTGTCTGACCACAGTAGGTGGCAGCATAGCACAAATATCCACATGTCTCCCTCTGACAGATGTGGGTTTCAGGGAGGGAAGCACGGGACTGACAGCTGGAGACAACATGGCATGAGGAAACTGAAATGACGGCGGCAGACGGGGCAGGACAGAGAACTGGTGGAAATTTTGGTGAAGTACAGTCTTGAAGTAAGTGCTCGGATTGGCTCTGTAAGATCAGACAGGATGGGAAATTCCATGTTGAGATAACCAGAGGACACCAGGGTGAGGGCAGTGTGAAGAAACAAAACAGGAGACAAACAGAAAAAAGAGAGAAAGAGAAAGGGCGGGAAAGTGATACAATAAGTGACACAGAGATGAGGGTGAAGTCAGCTCCCAGGTGTTTTGATGCCATCAGTCAACCTAACACTGACACCCAGGTCACCCTGTGATTCAGGGTGAACAGATTTACATAGCGGCAGCATTACATCACCGCTGGCTCATGTGTCCCTCCTGGTCTGTAACCTTCATGTATGTCGTTATTTATGTCAGTAATGCCCTTGTTCGGCAATAACACAGAATCACATCTGCCCAGTAAAATAACACACTCTACTTTTATCCAGAGGAACACTGATCAAGTTAAATGATGAAACATAATAGAAACACAGCTAACCTACACAAATGTGATACACATTACAAATTCGTCTACAGTATGTGGGCTTCTTTTTAACATATAAATGCAAACAGATTACCAAATAAATGCTTCTGTGCTGGTTATCGTCTCATATGCACCACTGTGAGGGTCACTGATAAAACACATCAAACTGCAATACTAAACTTAAAATAGATTATTATACAATCATCAGGATATAATATTTACCATGTACTACATACCTACATCAATGATTTAAGAAAATGTTGGTGATAGCAGATTTAAATAAAAAAACATACATGGTCAAATTCATGAATTAACCAAACCGATCTTCTGTTATTAAATGTGTCACAGCTAACTCAGACTTTTTGAAGAAACTCTTTACCTACATTTACTATTGAACAAACGCAATGTGGAATACATGACTACAATAATGGCCTGAGATAATGTCTTCCCTTTTCATTAAAGCCTGGCTTCGTGTCTGATGCAGAAATACCGAAGCACAGAGGAAAGATGCACAGTAGAAACGCGGATGTAGCTTCTGGATCTGAAAAGTAAAGCCAACCTGGCAGCGCCTGACTCAACCTCAGCAGACACTTTCCTGACTTATTTTCTCAGCAAGTCCCTTCAGATCACACTGATTAAAACATTAAGTCTATTTTGTTTATTTGGAGGATTATCCAGGGTTATCCTCGTTGGCTAACATCTTGAGTCGGTGCAATGACTCGGTTGCAAAACACCAAAATGGTGACAGCAAACATGCTCATTGCAAGACAGAAAAAGTCTGCATCCGTCATAAAGGTCGATTACAGCCCCAAGCAAAAAACTAAAGTGGCATCACAACTGCTGGTGTAAACTACACATGGGTGTTGTTGTTTTTAAACATTATTTTTATGGCATTTTTAGCTTTATTGGAGATTTTTTAGACAGGAAAGTAAGGAGAGGTCACAATAAAACCCCAGCCACTGGATCGAGCCTTGAGCCATTTGGTCATTTGTTCAAACTCACACTCAGTTCAGTGTTATGCCAGGTTGTTGTGCACCTTTTGTAGTTTTTTTAACCTGGTGTGCTGCATTCACCTTCAGAGTAAAAGCTGCAGCCAACACGTTACAAAATGCTCGTCTTTTACTTTGAAGGCGAACTGCATGTTATACAATTTCATTCCTGCTTGGAGAGCAGCTGGAGAGTTTTCTTAGACAAGTCAGAGTTTTCCGTAGAAACTATGGGCGACTGCGGAAATCTGCAAGCAACCAAAGAAACTTTAAGGAGGCCAACTGGTTGGGGAACATACATTTTCCCCTCATAAATGACGGGCAAGTTACCATCAACGTGGTTAGTAGTCATGTGACTGTGAAACCTCAATACTAGCACTGAATGGTGAAACTGACCATCAGCTCACTGTCCTGAATGGTCAATATTATGGTCATGCGGCGACCATAATATAGCCTTCAAACTGCCCAATTTGAACACACTAGAGTGACGTCTGATGGAATAGAGTTAAAAGCAGTACAAACTCGTTATAGTCATTCATTCTGAGACTGAATCGCATAGCGCTGCCTTTTATTCATTTTGAGGCATTGTTTCGTTTTCCTTTCCTTTTAAAAAGTCCCGGCCTGGATTAACATCGTCTGTGAGCCTCACCCTCAGGCTTTATGTTGCGTACTCCAGCTTTTCAGCTGGAACAGGTAAGAGTTCAGAAGGTTAAGCAAACCCTGTATTTATAAGGTAGCTTCTTCTAACCCACTTTAAAAACACAGTTTAAAGAAGTATTTGTCTCCTCAGTGTATAATCATGCTCAAGCTTAATGACATAAGGGCCCTCGGTCCATGTAAACATCAAGATGCTCTCACCTCCTCTCAGAGTTTAATTTAATTACACTGAAACCGTTAAATTATCAGGACAAAAGCTTGTATTAAAGCAGCAGGAGCTCAGACACTGCACTCCGATCATTTGTCATCCCTCACGAAAACCCCCACAGCAGCACTACCCCCCATTACAACCCACTGTTATATGTGTGTGTGCGTGTGTGTAGACTGCACTGTAAGATATTCCTAATTATGTCAAACAGAAGGGCAAACCAGCTGCCCTGCTGGTAAAGGCTGACTCAATCCACCCAATAACTGAAACAAACTTGTGCATGTTTCATCTTCACCTCCCAGTAACGACGCAAAAAAGCTACCAAAAATGCTTCTGATGAATCTTTATCCCCATCATGTCATTTAAAGATTACACACCGTGGAGCTAAACATTAAACCAACAACTCAGGGGCTTTTGGCAAATGTGCTGAGCCAATTTATTCAAGACTATTCAATCACAATGTCCTTCATGTGTCAGCGTCCGCTACGGCAGAGCAGTTCTCTCATTAAGAGAAGTGCACTTGAGAGTTGAGGAAAACACTATTAGAAGCCAGTAAGATGTTCAGTTTTCAGCCTTTCAGTCAAAAATAATGTTGTTGTTTAATGATTTAAGGTTGTTGGATGAGTCCAACACTCAGTTTTTAATTCTAGTTTTGATATCGAGTGAATACAAACCAACACCTAACTGGACTGAAATGACATCTGCTGGAAGGTTTCTAAGCAGTTTAACCCTGAACAGAAATCTGATCCCTTAACTTTAAATATGGAGGTTGTGCTGCTCCTGCCACAAAAAGATCCAGTCCAGGAAGCATTTAAGACAATCATGTTGTTGTAGTGATTCCCATCTACACTTTATTGTAGTAAAGATATCGAGAAGCGTGCTTTATGTCTTACTTTTGGCTAAGAAGACCTGGCAACAAAGACAAGCTTTTTAAACCTGAATCAGAGTCGCAAAACTTTTAAAGCACTTATTATCAGATTTTTTCGCTACATTTTATTCCCTGATGGCCAAAATTAAAATTCATGTTAGGTCTATTTCCTCATTTATTTAGATAGGGACTGCATGGAGTCACTGCTGAGTAACAGTGGCAGTTGACGGAGTGTTTTTATTGCTTCATGCAGAGATGTGACTGGAGGCACAAAAATGCATTGAGCAGGTTTATTTCAGTTTCATCGTGACACAAGATTTCATTTCTCTCTTTTGGTTTCACATTATTCATCAAAGGCCAAAACAGAATAAATGACTTATAAAAGCACACATATATTTAGTCAGCTATTTAGTCATTAAATTCTAGTCTCAACAATCAAGATTTGCTCTCCACTAAACAGGTTTTGGCCTGTTTAGGACTTTAAATAAAAGAAAAATATTTCATCTAAGTGGGGTTTACTAACTCAAACTTAAGGTTTTTTTTTTTAAATCACAGAGAAAATACGGTAATTTTAAAATTCAATTCATGTTTTTCTTTTTTCTGTATCTCTGTGTAATAGCACATACAACAAAACAACAATGGGTGTAATATTTCAAACCAGGGCTCCAACATCCTCTTTAGAGTTCAGGCTTCTTGTTGTAGTCACATGTTAAAGAAACATGTTTTAAGAAAGTACAAGTTATCTTTGTAGTAAAGTCCCACAGCCTTTCATCTTGTATAGTGATGTTACCCCAACTGTAGCGACGCTGACAATGAAAGGACTCCACCTGAGCAGTAACCACTCGTATGTGCAGACGGTTTAAACACCATCGCGCTTTGTTACCGTGCGTAATGAAAATATGTGCTGTCCCGCAGCTGGCAATACAAATGATCAATCAGCTGTGAAATAACGAGTGGATGCTGTAGAGGTGGATAACACTGGTAAGTGTGTGGATGGGAAAGGGCAGGTGGAGATAAGGGAGCTGTTAATTTGTGGAAAGACTTGAGAGCAGGTGGGACACTCGATAAAGGGATGGATTAATATTACGGCTGCTGACTGTGTGCGCGTGGCTGATGATATACATCTTGCGGAGAGGAGGAGGAAGAGGAGAAGAAACAAAGACCTAATGAAACATCCCAACAGCCTCGTAAATCCAATCAGACAACTGTCCACACTGATGAGACGCAGACAGCGCCGCGACTGGCTGGGAGACTGTGACGTCAGCAAGAGGATCCCTTACATGGTCTTGTTACAAACAGCTTTGACAGGAGGGCCTGCTGCCATGGAGATAGCATCCCAGTGACCTCCTGGTGGGTGTTAAGCTCTGACTGACCTCCTGCTGCCTGAGTGACAGCGCTGCTATGCGATTGTGATGAAGTATGAGATGCTGTGATGGAATGTGTGCGAGGGAAATATGTTTTGCGGTTAACTGATTGCCACGGAGCAGAGAGACTGAAAATGCATTCATCATTTTAATCACAGTAACTCATGATACATATCCTACGATAACTGGCATCGCGATACAGCAGTTCTGCAAGAAAATCACAATATTTGTGATTGCAGAAGAAAAAATTACCTCTAAAAAGGCAAAGACCAAGAACTGTGCATTTCAAGGTTTTCATGCGTTTTTTAGCAGTGATTAAAACAGGTTAAAAAGCTCAAATCAAAATAAACATTAACATTTAGATGCTAATAATCACTGAACGTGTGATGATGTTTGTGCAACAATTATGCAACTTTTAGAACTCGCTAATTTTCTCCCCCTTCTGAGAATTTCTTCTTTTAACCTGTATATTTTACTAATTACTGTGACTATTTCCTGACAACTTTAAAAAAAGTGGAAATATGCAGGAACTCATAACTGTTGGCCAGAATTGACTATTTTTGGTGACAAAGCGTGGCACAGGTTGCTAGGAGTTAGTGGAGACCACGCTGAAACCTGTGGAGCTGAAAAATGACAATCCACAGTGTCAAAAATATTGGCATCCACCAGCGCTTCCCCTCAGCTTCCTAGTAAACACACCTATTGTATATATTTTTTCAGAAAAACCTGACCTCAGGGTCAGTGAGATTCAAACTTGTATGAAATTTTAAGTAGATACACCTATGGAAAAAAGTAAACAGTTCATGTGTTCCTACCATCTTTCCCCGCTGCTGTGCTGAGCGCGTTTCTCGCAGGGTGAAGACGTTGCCGCAGACTGAGATCTCCCTCCAGACGCCTGGTTTGGAGTCCTGGCTGAAGCCGTTGCGAGGGTGCATCACCAGCACGCCGTTGGTGGTCAACCCGTCCATCTGACCATCAGATGTCTTCCACTTAGCAGCTTTCTCCTGAATGAAGCAAAAAACACGCTGATATTCATATGCGTTCAGCAGCCCTTCGTCCAACCTCCTATCATATTTAGCAGACTGAGCTTTCTCTACTGAGCATGTGTGAGTTTAGTGTTGCCACCAAGAGCACTAACAGGACACCATCAGTTGTTGTCCTCTGCTGTCAAACAATGACAAATGGAGAAGGACAGTAAAAACAAGAACATGGGAAAAGTAAAAGCAGGTTAAAGGTTTTAGAATAATATGAGAGCACACGCTCTACGACACGTCTTTCATGTCTTGTTTTCCTCTTTGTCCTGTGGTTCTTTAGTCTTTCCTTCTCTCATCCTTCTGCCTTTTTGCTCTCACAAACTCGCCCACACGTGTCTGAAGCTCCAGATGAAACAGTGCTCACCCCGAGGAAGATGCTCTTGGAAGAGTCGAAGCCTGCGGCGTAAATGCGCGCTGTGTAAGGCGGCGTGCGCTGGCACATAATGCGGCAGGCGAAGCGGGAGATGGTGCTTTGGACCGACTGAGTGTCTGCGTTACTCTGGCTGCCTGCCACTGTATCCGTCACTACAAAGTCTATTGGACTCTCTGTGGATCGACCGATCTGGAGAAGAGAGATGGAAAGATTAGCCCACAATGCTTTTCAGCGATGTGATAATATAATGATGTATTACCTCAGGGGAAGCTGGTAAGATGAAAAACATAACAGAGAATGGAGACAAAAACTGCTAAATGGATGCAGAATGTGTCCAGGATGGAATCCATTAGGAAATTTGAAATACATAAGCCAAGACAGTTGGAGAATCTTTAATAGCAGACAATACGCAGAACAAAGACATGCTAGAGACTTTTAAGTAGAGTCGAATTGCTTCACATGCATTGCAAACTTGTATAAAACCCCTAAAGATGAGTACTTTTCTTCCCTGATAGCATCACCAGAGTACCATAAACACCACACAGGAAAGCCTCAGTGTTAGTGCAAGTCAAGACAGAACACAATGACTTTGGAGGAATTCTGTGTTAAAAGCTTTACTGATGCAGTAATATCTTTTGTCCAAATCTGACTAAGATGAATGATTCATGATTGGTTCATTTTATTACTCAACACAGTGAGATCAGGACACAGTCAGCTCCAAGAGTTAATGTCACCAGATGGAAAGAAGTCATTATGTGACATGGCTGAAAGCACCAGCAGAGCAGTAGACTGCTTTTTCCAAGCTTAAGGCAACTCACCAGTTAAGGTCATCAGGCAAAAAAAAAAAAAAAATAATAGAAATTTTAACATTTACCATTTCATTAAAACTCCATCTGATGTAAAGATCATTTTATATCCAAGCATGCATCCGTTTTCTGCTGCTTATTCATGTCTGGGACACAGGGACTCCAGTCTAAGCAGAGATGCCCAGACTTCCCTTTACCCCTCTTCTGGTGAGGACACTGAAGGGCTCCCAAGCCAACTGAGAAATGTGTTATCTGCAGCAGGTCCTGGACTTGCCTCCTTCTAGTAGGACGTCACTTAAACCTCCTCCTTTCAAATGACCAAGCTTGCATTTGGGATCTTATTCTTTTTTTCATAGATCGGCCAATAAATGAACAGTTCTGCCTTGCGCAGTTTAGGGCGCCAGGGATTATCCCGCCAACACCTCCGTGAATACACAAAGCACCGGACCTCCATGGATCCTTTTGCAGGTGGTAAACTGACAGGATGGTGGAGTCGAACATCGCTTGAGCTGACAATAAGCCCATTCACCGAGGCTCCTGGGTAGTTTCCTAATCTGGGCAGTACTTCTAAGGTTTTTTTTGTTTGTTTTTGTTGCGGTTGTTTTTGCTTTTCTTTTTTTGAATCGCACTTAGTCTGGCCCCTCACCCAGGACCAATTTGCCTTGGGAGACCCTACCAGGGGCAAGTTGCCCCCGACAACATAGCTCCTGGGATCACACGGGCACGCAAACCCCTCCACCACGATAAGGTGGCGATTCATGGAGAGGTGTTACATTAAGGGCTTTTTTTTTTTTTTTAATTAAAAACATTTCTACATTTACATTTGTATACACCAGTGGTGGTTCTCAAACTGTGGCTCATCCAGGGGGATGTGGACTATACAGAAGATTTTTGTATAGAAAACAAAACTCTGGTGATGCTTTTGTGCTATTTTTTATTAACTAAAATTCAGCTTTGATCCTTGTTTATTGGTGACTTGATATGGATAAAGCTCAAAAAGAATCTCTGGTTTATACTTTGAGATATGGCACGTTATGAAGATGCTGAACCTGTTTTAGTACACAGACAACTATAACTGAAGTACTTTGATATTGTTTTTCAAAGAGGCTTTTTTCTTAGCTTTTCCAAGTCCATTTGTGGCCCTTTATTCATGGTGCACATTGGAATAAAGGGTCCGTTATTACGAGAGGTACAAATTTGGAAGCAGTTTGCTGTAATCAGGACTGAGGTTTCAAAGTATCTTAAGTGTCTATGTGTCACTTCCACTGCTGCAGATCCAACTGCTGACTGTGTTGATAAGCGGGCCAAACCACAACAACTAACTTCCCATTATTTTCAGAAAGACATCATGCACTTCACCTCACACAGTGTGCCTCATGTCTCTCATTCCGGCGTCCCTTCAAGGGCTCTGCTTTAAAGATCGAAAATCCCTGCACTAAACACGCAGATGCTCTGTTACCAGCCTCTATTTAATATGTGTGTGAGTGGAGCAGTGAAGTGGAAAAAGTAAGGACTGTGAATTGGTTGTAAAACTCCAGGCACGGTGATAAAAGCTGGGGCTTGTTACCTGGAACATGTCTGTATTGCTGTCGTGGGTGTACTCCACCACCACCGTCTGGGCTCGAGACAGAGTGTAAGAGATGCTGTGCTGGTCTTTGTTGCTTATGGCCTGGAAAGACAGAAGGAAGAGATCAGATCAGCACTGAAAGCAGAATCAAACCCTTCACTTTAAATGCAGAAGACTGAACTGAGCATGTTTTCTATCAAAAACACCTCTGACATCTCCTCAATGATCCTTGCAGAAAATAACAGATGCACACGGGAGTGGTGGAGATGTGTAATCATTAACTGGACCCATGTTCTTTTTGGTCAGTTAGGACCACACACAGGACAGAAACGGACAATCGCTCTTCCAGACTGCAGCTAAAGCCTGGCCTGTGCGCGAGTGGGTGTGTGAGTCAGGGTATAAAAGTGTGCGTTCTCAGAGAAGCCATTATGTGCAGATGTCAAACCAAAAAAGCACTCTCTCACACACATACACAACTACAATTCCCTGATCATTTAACAGATTTTAGTGGATTTCTGGGCAGACTTTGGGCTGATGATGGAAATACATGAACGTGTTCTAACCTGGATTTTGCAAGAAAATGCTCAGTTACCTTCCACTGGACAGCTCACATTTGTTTCTCTTATAAACCTTGACCAAGTTAAATCCCATGTAAAAACCATTGTCCAAATATATTTTAAAACCTTGACAAAACCTTGTACCTGATTTTTTTCCTTGTTCTGCAAACTCAGGGAAGCTCTGCTGAGCTTTTTTTCCTTTTCTCTCCTGACAATTGTGTGTGTGTTTGTGAGATTCATTGTGTGCAGTACTTTAATATCACAGAACAAAAAAGCACACAAAAGCCTTTGTTGGAGCACTGCAGGCCAAAACCACTGAACCAGTGTGTTTGTATTTGACATTTTCATAAAAACAACATCCCACACCTACGCAGAGATGAATTAAAGAATGCAATTTTCCATCATTAAATGTTTAGGCCATGTGTTTAATGAATCTAACTGACGGCTGCAGCTTTGTGATCACTTGTAAGTCTAAAAGGTCGTGTTTTTGTGCGTCTCACCTTGGCTGCTTGTGGAGAGCAGGCGACGTGAACTGTGCTGGGCTTCACCCCGTTTGCCTTCGGCCTCTTGCAAAGTCCAAAGCGGCTTTTACGTCGCCCCCGATCCCCGTTGGGCAGAGAGCCATTGTATCTGCATGTACACACACACACACACAAACATAAACACACTTATGCATGCATAAAACAATAGGGCATTATTGTCTGGGCAGCTGCATAATACGCTGGAAAAAACAGTCATTGTGGAAAATGCTTGAGGCCTTTTAGTGCACTCCCTCCAAGAGCCTAAGACTACACGCACACAAACAGCAACCTATACTTTTTATACATGCCTTTCTACAAAAGTACATCATGTGCCCCAAAACAATAAAGCCCTCCAAACATAACCCTCGAAAGGCTGAGAAAATAAACACACAGAAAGACTCATTTAGACTGATACATGGCTGAGGAAAGGAGAATAAACAGAGGCGTTCCCTCCAACAGAAAAGTCTCTGTGGCTCTCAGCAGCACTGTGACTGCGCTGTTGTGTCTCTCTGAGCGTGTGTGTGTGTGTGACTTTGTTAACATCCTGAAATAAGAAAACATTCATCACTTCTGTCCACATTTCAGCAGGTCAACAAAGTGCCACTGATTACCAAGACAGAAAGAAAAAATGATATCTGGTTCATCCCTCTCATAAAACCTTCCACTTTCTATTCAGTACAGCAGAAGGTAGGCGCTCACTCGCCCTCACAACAACACAATCAACAAAAGGAAGTCATTAATGCAAAACAGGTTGAAAGGCAGTTTGAGTTTCCAGGTAAAAGCGGCCACAGAGGATTTCAGGAAGTAGTTACATTGTTTCAAAATAAATTCCAGTAGAGCCGAAGTTATTTGTAGTTGGTTTGTATCCAGCAAAAAAACAAAAACAAAAACAAAAAGGACAAAGAGCTGATAGCATTGTTTTTATTTTTAACAAAAACAAACAAAACAATACAGGTTGAATGTTACACACTGGATACATGTTAAAAGTAATATGTAATTCACTGACATTTTATTAGGTACACCTGTTCAAGGCAAATATTTAATCATTTATATTTGATATATACGGCAGGAGCTCTGCGCTGTGACATGCTGAAGTTCAAACGGGGAATCAGAACAGGGAAGGTGATTTAAGATTTGACTTTTAAGGTGGCATGGTCCCACTAATTGCTAATCTACTGGGATTTTCCCACACAACTATCTCTAGGGTTTGCAGAGAAAATATTCAGTGAGCCACAGTTTTCTGGAAGAAAATGCTTTAATGATACCAGAGGTCAGAGAAGCTGGAAACAAGAAGTCAACAGCCACTCAAATGACCACGTGTTATAACCCAGTTTTGCAGACTAACATTACGTCAGTCATAACACACACACACAGGCAGAAGATCACACCGGGTGCCACTCTTGTCATCTAAAAACAAGAAACTGAGCTACAATTCACACAGACTCTCTTGGACAACAGAAAATTGGAAAAACGCTACCTGTTGCGTCTCGACTTCTGTTGTATTGTTCCTGACCATGTCCATCCCTTTATTACCACTGTGAGACCATCTTTGAATGGCCTTCCAGCAGCATAATGTGCCCCAAAGCTCAAATCATATCATATTAGCTTCCTGAACATGACAAGTAGTTTAATAAACTCAAACGACCTCCAAAGTCACCAGATCTCAGTCCAGCAGAGCACCTTTGGGATGTCGTGAAACGGGAAACTCGCATCATGAATAAAAGAAATCTGTAGTAACTGTGATGCTGTCATGTGTCAATTTGGACAAAAATCCAAAATCTGATGAAAAAAAAAGGATCCAACTCAGTACCAGCGAGGTCTACCTAATAAAGTAAACTAATTGTATTTAAAAAGGTCTTTTGAGTTTTTTGGAAAAATGTGGACAATTTGGATCTTTCAGAAAGTCCATCGGAACAGTATGTTGCACTTTTTGAACTGCTGCAGGATTTTTGTCTAAAATTGTACAAGAGGAGTGGTCTGTTGCACGTTGGGCTTCTCTGACTTCGTTTATTTGTACAACAAGGAAATGCAATCACACATAATTTGAAGTCTGCCACTAATTATTTAAGCAGACAACACATAATAAATAGTCTAAGCAATATTTACATGTATTTATATAAACACACTACATTTTGGTTTTGGTTCTGTTTGCTCATTTATGGAAAATTGTAACAAACTTATTACTGAACAAAAAGAGAGAAATTTCCAAACACATCGGATCCGTGTTTCTCTCAGTACACAGATGTTTTACTCGTTATTGCACACACATGTTTCAGATAAGCCGTCACCAGTGTGAAGTGATATTCCTATGAGCGGTGCCACGGCTTTATAAACATTACTGCATGCATAAACACTGCTCGCTACTTTAACATTGTTATGACATCCAGAAGCCACAGACGTTACGGTATGAACTCTTCTGACTTATACCCTAACTGCACTTTACGTCTCAGAACACATAAGAAACAGTCACACGTAACTCAAGGTTCAATGGGTAGTCTTTCAAAGAGGTAATCTTCTTCATACAGGAAAACTATTCATGCAGTATAAGCACAGTTGGAACGTGTCTCCGGCCAATCAGACTCTTGAAACAAACCCACCCCCTCTATGAAGTCCAGGTATGACAGACGACACAGGCGGGTTTGTGAGGACGCCCAGCCTCCAGCTAAATGTTTCTCTGAGTTAGAAGATCTGGGATCAAACAACGCTTGAAGGGTTTATGAGTAACCATGGTGAGAGAACAGAGCCACGGCAACGTTTGGGAAGAGTAACCATGGCAAGACTGTAACCATGGTGAAGTTTAGCCCGTATCCAGAGCAAGGGCAGGGCGGTCTGCTGGAAAGAGCCCAAAGTGTTCCTGGCAGTTCAAAATCAGGTTCCCATGGGTAGCAGTACTGCATGCATGACACGAATATTCTCAAAACAAAAACAGAAAGGTCAAAGATCGGCGACAAGTTCATGATTGTGCATGCAGGTTGGAAGACAGGAAGAACCAGAGTCAGGAAAAAGTTAGTCTGAATGTGCAGATTCATACTGTATTCCTCATTTCTGACAGCTAGCACCATCTAGTATGTTTGTGTGTGTCTGTGTGTGTCTGTGTATTCACTCCAAACACTAATAAACTAAATCCCAGTTTGCAGCAACAAGGTAACACTCATACAGTAAACCTATAAAAGCATAAAGGCAGGTAGTGTGAGCAATTACTTCTCATGCATGAGTCACTCTCTGTGTCTCTGTTTATATGTGTAAAACCAAGCAGCAACTATCAGGGCTGAAAAATAAAGTGAGCAAGGCAAAAAACCGCAGTTCCTCTAGTGGACATTTAAAGGCCAGCTCTGATAGCGAGCCAATCCACAAAGACATGTTAAAAACATACAAGTTTAACTATTGACTGACAGGTGGATGCTGACATGAGTAAATGTAGTCTCCAAGGCCTCACCTCTATTATTGGGTCTCCAAATGCGGCATTTGGGAAAACCTGACAAATTATCTGGCTTATTGTTAAATCTACCAGTCCAGTCACCTTTAACACTGCAATAGTACTGACTTAGAGTTGGTAATTACTTAAAAAGATGTTGTGCTTTAAAAAGTAGGCAATAAAAGACAAAATATACATGATTGTAATAGTTCTCTCCGTGAGACCTGTATCTATGTGTTTGTACAGCTGTGAAGTATAGGGAATCACATTTATGATTCATGAGGATTTAAGCCACACGGATAAACTAATAATATTTGTGGACACACAGTTAAGCTCACAGAAATGATGCATGCAGACAGACAGAGGTGCACTGGGGGAGGGATCTCATCTGCAGCATTACAGCTGTTTAAAAGCCCCACATGCATGTCCAGGGCACCTGTAAACAGACCATCCCCAGAGACACCACAGCATTCCTCCGCATTAGGCTACTAGCATTACTGGGCATGAAACATATTGGACTCAGTTAGGCGTTTAGATCGTTGATGGGTTTCTCTGTTGCTATTTGTGGATCTGTTGTCAGTTACACAGGCGACACAAACAGAAGGACAAACAGACATTCAGATGGGTGGAGTTTACAACAGCTAAGCTGTTTACTTCATAGAACCATGAAAACCTTCCAGCTGCCTTCCAAGTAATTTATTGCATTGCCTTTTGTCTCCCAACCCCCCAGCTAGCAAAAGTGCAATCATCCTGATTTGGCACGAGGTTTTATGATAGGGAATAGGTGAAACAGAGAGCCCTGGTTTCTTGAGCTGTTCACCCATCATGCCCCAGGAGGATGCTGGCAGTGATTCAAGGTAAATCAAATGATCAGCTCAATACAGTCACATTTTTACATTTTCTGAGGATTTCTTCAACAGCTGCTTTCCGATAATTTATTGCGAGACATTTGTTGTTGGTGTCACAGTACAATTTGGCTGCAACTAGAGCAGCTGAACACAGTTTTGCTATGGGCCAGTTGGGATCCCATGAATGGCTGGAAATATGTTGTGCATGAACACAGTTTGATAAATAAAAAACTAAAAATATCGTGGATATCATTTAGCAATGATTTAGTCCACATAAAGGCCTCAAAGTTACACCATTTAGTCAGTGTGGGTAACTAAGTACACAAAAACCAACAAATCAAACTAAGTCTGCAGCTGGCTACGATTTGAGCCTTTGCCAGTTTTAATTGACAAAGGTCTCATGTGTCTTTGAGTTTTGACACATGAGACTAGAGCAATGCTACTTTATAGCTCAGTCACACTAGAATAAAAATAGGATATCAACCTCCTTGGAGAAAAGTTGCCCAGTGATTGCACTGAATATTTTTGCGTTAAGACACCAGAGGCTGAGCGTGCAACACCCTTTACTTTTGGATGGTAACTTTCAATCGACAAAGGATTGAAAGACAAGAAAGACAAGAAAACTCGCAGCGTGGCTTGAGTGCCGGTGATGTCTTTACTTGACTGTGATAGGTCAAAACGCCTGCTGTGGTGCTAATGTGAGGGTTAGATGCTCAACTCCCACAGTGACCACTCACAAAACACATGCAGTTTCAATGAACCCTGCAAAGGTTTAAAGAGCAGCCTCAGTTGCTGCACAGTATGTATTTGCTCATGTCATGGAGCAGTGAGTGCCTGTGTTGACCTTTAAAAAAGGGAGGCCTGACCTAGAATCAAAAAACTAGGAGCGGAAAAAGCAGATCAAAACGGAAAACTGGGGTTCTCCCTTGTAAAGGCATTGAACTGAGTTTACTGCTCACTGCGGTTTTCCACTAGGGAAAATTTCCACGGTCATCTCCCTGACAATGCTGCTCTAGCACAACCCAGAACAACAAACTGTGAGTCAGCTGTGGATCCAACTATGTGTGTGTGTGTGTGTGTATAAGACATGAAAAATGTGTGCTCTATGCTCATAAATGTGTGTGCGTGCATGTGCATGTTTGTGCGTCTGTGAACGTGCATGTAAGGAGTCTTTCCGACATCTGCATTCCTCTGTGGAGTGGGATGGGACAGGGACCAGAGTGGAATGCCCCTTTGGGGAATAAACAGGAGATACATACAGATAGAGGAAGTCCTCCACTGTCGGTTGTTACTGGAGAAAGTGTGTGTGCAGTTAGAGTTATGCGTCTTCTATGCTGAAGATGCAGGGTGGAGTGAAGGGTTTTTCCTACAGCTGACTATGTGGACTTGACTCAAAACAAATCTCAGCATCCACTGATCTAGTAACGCATCAAGCAATGTGGTTACTGTCATGTTCAATAAGTCCAAAGCACCAGATCTGTGTGTTCTCAGTGCATGACCCTGTGTGGATAAAAATATCCCCACTGTTTATGCTGCTTTGTTTCTTTTTGGCATCTTTTCAAAAGAATCATTCTAAGCGTGTCAGAAAATATCCACAGATAAACTGACCAATCAAAGTACCTTTAAAATTTCACTGTATTTCTCTTGCAACCCCTATTATGTTTCTATAATTCTCTTCAGCAGAAATCAGCTGAACAGTAAAAACATTATTAAGCTACAACATGTTGCCGGTTCTTTGGTGCTTTTTAAAAGTTCTTTAGTTTTTGGGGGTTTTTTTTTGCTGGTTTTATATCTATAAGATGGTTTAGGTGACATGAGGGTAATGAGGCTGCATTAGCCAACTTATTAGCTCAGAAAGGGATCAACTTAGAGCGCCAACATTTATAGAAAAGTCTGAATCAGTGTTGAATGATACATTACATTTCTGTAACCAACCACTGTTAGTCCAGCATCTAGAATCCCAGATAATAACTGTGTAGCAAAACACAGTCAAAAAACAGAGCTTCATGGATTCCCCAAATCCATAACAGTGACTATATTCATCATGCATGAGCATGAAGGATATTAAGGTATTATCTGTCTGTGTTTTGAGGGTGAGTCTTGGTTTATGAAGCCAGATTAACAGTCCTAGAACTTACAGGCAGCAACCAACACATTTAATTATTAACCAACCATGAATCAGATTCTTTAAACACATCAACAAATTAAATAGAAATATTATAAATAATTTTCATGAATTTGACAACCTCTAAAAAAGTGACAGACATGAGAAAAAAGTGCACAAAACTTTTCCTTTGAAATTGAGGAAGACTTAAAAAATAAACATGATATTTTGAGTATTGAGGTGCCAGGGAATTTAACGAATAATTAGGCAGATTTGAATTTGAGCTTACTTTTTTATTACAATTATTATTCTAGCACCATGAAAACATTTCTGTTTTTTCACCATGCTGCAGTATTATTTGGCCTGTATGTGCTATTGGCTATGAAATAAAACGATATAAAGCTTTTATGAGGTGTTGTAAACGCATAAATGCAAAAAATATGGGTCATTTTAACCCACCGCTTTGTGCTTGCTAGGCAGCATGATGGTGTTATGATACATCATGTGTACTTCAGCTTTTGTGGATATAACTGAGATGTTGCTGTCATGGAATTAAAGCTACAGCATGCTCTCATAATGTGCTGCAGGTGCATAATTGCAAAAATTAGGTCATTTGAGCCCATTACTATGTGGTTTCCAGGCAAACTGATGGTGTCCTAATAAATCATGAACTTTTGTGGGTATAAGTTAATATGTTGCTGTAGTGAAATAGAAACGATACAATGCTTTTACAAGGTATAGCTGCATAAATGCTAAAAAAAAAAAAAAGGTCACATTAGGCTGCTGTTAGGTGGTTGCTAGGCAATGTGACAATGTCATCATATCTGATATAGATAAGAACCTTTCTGGGCCTAAGATGTACCTGTGTGTCAAGTTTGGTTACTCAACTCCTGATCCTGTGGGAGGAATCGGCGGCCCAGACTCAAACACTTACTAATATAGTAAGAAGATTAACAGACAAAAATAACTGCATAAAAATAATACAAATTTAAAAATGTGTGTTCTGGATGTGAGGCTGAGTATCTGTCATCTGCTTACCCTAGCACAATGAGCTCTCCATACTTCACTGGCACTTTGGTGGAGGCGGTGGTGGAGATGTTTTCCTGCTCCGGGGAGTACATTGGGCACGGTTGATTGAGGTCTGGAGGAATTGGAGGCAAGGAACGATGGGTGAGATGCAACGGGGTCACGGGAGGAAGGAAGGGGCAACGAGGGGAAGGGAGGGGGTTGGTGCTGATCGAATGGAGCACTGGGGAGAATAAGGAGAAGAAGGAAGGGGAAGGGTCAGCTGAGCCTCAGCTCCACCCTGTCATGCTTCATGGGTCCGTCTCTTGTAGCTCCACTTGTTCTACACTGAAAAGTGACAAAGACACAAAGATTAGTGTGTTTACTCACAGACAGTCCTGGTATCAGATCATTTAGATACACACTTTTCTTTTTTCTGCAGTTTACTTTACTATTTTCACCTCAGGCTGAGAAGTAAAATGACCTTAAAGACTTTACAAAGTTGGGCATCCTTTCATCTTCACTTATAGAATAAACTACGAGTTTAAGATTTTAACAAGCCCTCAATCATGAGGCTGTCCTTTATAGGGGCTCCACATATGTAAGTCATTTAATGCCACTTTAAATGAAGATTAATGAAATGACATTAAGACCAAATCTTTGTGTACGGGGATCAAAATTATAGGCGGCTGCAGCCACAAAACTTTGTAAATAAGACTTATAAATTAACCCCATAAAAGATGGTAATTAAAACAACAGAAGAAGCAGAAATGAAATAAACTGATCATTATAAATGAGACCAGAACCGATGACAGATGGAGATAGATGGAAATGATTTGGTAAGTTTTTCCTGAATCTTCACCAGTGTTGGTGTCGACCAGAAGAATATCCAGGCAGTCTGTTCCAGATTACACGAGGGGTCGAGCTGGTTCACAGTTTACAAGCATGTCTGAGCGATATTAAGGTCCCAGATGTTGCAGGGTCTTACTAACATCCACTAAAATTTTAAAATCAATTCTAAATTTAACGCAAAGCCAAAGTAATGACCTCAGAACAGGTGTCATATGGTTATATTTTCTTCTTCTTTTTAAACTGCGGAATCTCTGAAGTCAATTAAGATGCTCTTTTGATATTCTTTCGAATATCACGGCCATATTGTGACCATAATCAGTCCGTGTGGTCTGATTATGGTCACAATAGACAACCTTAAACTTCCGCAGATTAAATAATTAAAGGCAAATGTCTACACCTTCACATGTCTGGATGGGAAATCTTTCTGCTGACTGATCTGGGTGTCTGCGTTAAGCGCTTTGAGTCATTTTCTGAAGTCAGCATTTATACACAACTTTCTAAATACACAGGAAATCAAAGAAAGGAGAAGAGAAAGAGAGTGTGTGTGAGAAAAGAAGGCATGAGAAAAATGGAGAGGATGGACTTCCTGTTACTTTAAATTTAACTCACGACCTTTCTTGTGTAAGTCCCCCTCTCTTCCAATTACAAGGTAAAAAAAAACCAAACAAACAGCATGTAAATCTTTCCAAATAAGAATATCATCACTTCAAATCCAGGCAACCCTCCACATGTGAAGCAGAATATTCCCTGAGTGCCTATTTGCTTAGAGAGCGCATGAATAAAGTATAGGAAGTAAAGTGTTTTGATGAAGAGTGGGGGTAGGTTTGTTGTTTCTCAGTACTCTTAGTGAGGCTAATACAGTCCCAAAAGACTGAGCGTTAGGTTCACGCAGAGGCCTTCCAAATAAATATTTAAGGCACAATGCCCTATTTAGTTTGAACTAAAGGCAACAGTTATATGAGCGCTTGTGGAGCATCAGAGTACACCATTTAAAATCAAATCGAGCCCAAATCCAAGGACGTGGCTTGTAGTTGATAATTAAAAAACTCACAAAAACTTCCTTTAATAGACTAGACTTGTTTTAGGACCAAAGTTAGAAGAGATTCATCTTTGCATAAGACTAAAACACCAGAGGCATCAGTACCACTGGCCTCTGTCCAGAAAATAAAGCTTGTTCCAGGAGTTGGTTTTCTTTAATCTGAGATCAACTGGCCACTAAATTGCTATCGAAGGTTTTTGTTATTACAGATGTGTCTGACCTGACTGCAAGCCCTCAACTTGTGGTTAGAATTACTTACTTAGTGATTCTTAGTTTGTTAAATAAAGTCTGAATTTGTAGCACCAAAACCACTAATAACAGGTGTCCTATGCAGCATGGCATAGGTGAGCGCCTAAGCCATGCTGCAGTTAAACTGCTGTCCTGCAGAAATTACCTAACTATTTGAGCAGAAATTTCTTAATTTCTGTTTCAGATGTACGAGGTTTCAACTGGAATCTAAATGCAAGTAGCAATGCAATCTTTGTGATTTTCGCAGAGTTGTCACAGTCAATCACCATATTCTCACATGTAAGATTGCCACCTTGAGCCATGCAATCACAAACTGACAGCAGAGCCACTTTGCCACACCAAAGTGGCTTTGAAGACAGAAGCTGACTATGAATGTTTGCAGACCTGGTTTCAATCTCTTAAGCAATCATCTCAAAGGCAACAAAACTGCACACTCACGCCACACGGTCGTAAAACCTCTGCTCGTGCCACGCTCTCCAATTACGCCAAGTCCCCATACCACCAGCATCAGTAGCCTTCTATAGGCAAGCTGGCCATTAAAGCACTTTTACACTGTACATTTCTCTCTGCCCTGCTGTTATCACAGATGTGTTTAACTCGCTTGTCATCCTAACAGAACGAATTATCACAGTAACAAGTGTCAAATGTATTGTGAATGAGGTTTTCTTACCTCTGGAACAGAATCTGGAAGTTCAGAGGAAAGCTTTTTATGGAAAGGCATCTCTCATCAAACTATTCCAGAAATGAAAAAGCTACTTCCCAAAATATATATAAAAAAAAAGATGTTCTGCTGTTAAGAACAGTGCACACATGAAATAGAACGCACAGTACCATGCTGTGCAAAACAAAGTCTGATATGATTTGTTGCCCTCACTTTTAGAAGTCTGCTGATTACGCCTACAGCTCATATGCTCAGTGGGTTACTAGGAGGAAGATGCCTCTTTGCGCTAAATGGTAGATGCATACACATAAACAGTTCCCACACAGAAACAGGAAGTCAGAGTGTTTATACCACCACAAGCGCCGCTTTCAGGCCGATCAGTTGTGACAAGCTGTGGGTATCAGTGGTGCACCCAACTCTCATTTTTTCTACTGCTTCGACATGTCATGTGCAAATTAAGCTCGCAGTAGCTCAAAACGTTACCTGGAGACGAGTAAATATTACAGCAGAGAGCATGGGGAAACACTGCATTGTGGTTTACACTTGAGTGGCAGTTTCTAGAGGTGAGAACACATTTACATAATTTAGTTCACTGGTGAAGAAAGGCTTTCCCAGGTTCAGCTTTGGGCAGCTTTTAATGACCCAGAAACCTACTTCTTGGTCTTGCTGACAGTAATCTGATCTCTCGTCATAACATGAGAAAAAATAACATGAGGGAGGAGTTGGTTTTTTAAGTACTCAGATGAGGGCATCACAACTAAGATTTTTAGGAGCTAGACGCTTTACATGCTAAATGCTCATGCAGTCATAAACTGCTTTACAAAAAGATCCATGTAGCCACAGTGATATTACTCACTGGTTTTGGACCACGTTCTTTATTATTTTTTGGAGCCAGAGGTGACCATATTTAGATGCCTGACACCTACCTTTGTCATGACACCTATTCATCAGATAGATAAACTCTAGTATCCAAGTGGATGAGCTCAACCTGTGAGCTTTCTAAAGCTCTAAAGTTGGGTATTTTAAAATGAGTGTCTATGGGGAATGACAGTAGACAGCAAAAGATGGATGCAGATACCATGATGTTCCCCACAAAACCTCAAAATCTGTTTTTTTGCCACCATCTTGGCGTTGTGAAACCAGATGTGACAAGAATGAGGGGGACTATGTTGGTTAATGGTGGTGGTTAACAACTTGTGACTGACAGGCAACTGGGAAATCCTCCTTTCTGAAACTTCAATATGACTGGAAATGAGTGATGTCATGGCCCAGGACTGCTTTGCCATAGAATCCTATAAGATGAGAGCCCCTTTTTGCAACCACAGACATCACTTCTTTGTGGCCAATAAAAAGAGCTTGAGTTTAACTCATGTCTTGTCTTTTTGAAAACTAAAAAACAAAAATTTGGTCCACCCCAAGGATCGGGTCCCCCGACACAAACAGAGTAATATAGTGTACGCTGTTAAGTGCCAGGAGGATTGCTAGGATTTATACATCGGGGAAACCAAACAACCTCTGGCGAAGCGGATGGCACAACACAGAAGAGCTACCTCGTCAGGCCAGGACTCTGCAGTCTATTTACACCTACAGGCTAGTGGACACTCTTTTAATGATGAGGATGTACACATCCTGGACAGGGAGGAACGCTGGTTTGAGCGGGGAGTCAAGGAGGCCATTTAGGTGAAAAGGGAAAGACCATCTCTGAATCGAGGAGGGGGCCTAAGGGTACATCTTTTGCCATCTTGCAATGCTGTGATTGCAGCCATTCCTCAACTCTCTTTGAATCGTACTCATGGCCATTGATCAGCGGTCTTTGATCAATGAGCTTTGATCAGTGGTTGTTGATCAATGGTCATAAGCATTTGCATATTAATGAGCAAGGAACCGCTCTCACAGCCCATTGTTCCTTCAGTGGGCTGGTTTCAGTCATTATGTAAATGTACTGTTTATAAGATTGGGAAAACCTGCAGTCAGCTGAGACTGAAGAAGTCACTTGGATGAGTGACGAAACGTTTCTCCCACTGAAAATGCTACGTCCAGATGAACAGAATCAACTTTTTGGGATTTGAAAACTATTGTTACTAGACACAGACAACGCAGCGATATTCAGTGTTAGTACATCTGGTACCAAGCTGGGACTACACATTATTTTTATCTGATACAATGGTCACAGTGTCAGATTAGCTGATTATTGTATTTGACTGAGAACTTGGTAATAAAAAAAGACAACTGGTGACGACTGTGTGCTCACAGATCTCTGTGGAAGAGTCACAAAAATTCCAACGTGCTGTATCTGGTTCAGAGTAGACAATATCAGATGATCAGGCGCGCCATTTCACCCCATCAGAAAGATTATGACTTACTTAGATTAGCCAGAACTGTTAGTGGCATTGCTGACACTTGAAGAGCAGAGTTCAGCAGGTGCTGAGAAGAGCAGTGAATCCTCTCAGCTTATCCCGACACTAGACACTACTGTGAAACTAGATGCAGCCCACATGCTCCTCTTACAGAAGAGGTTAAACCCACTAACCCTAAACCTCGACTCTGAATTATCAGCACACATGAAAACACACGTCTTACTGTACAAAAAAACACACACACACACATACACACACGCACAATCAGCAGTGCTGAGCAAACTGTTGGCTGACTCACTGGGAATTGATTTTTTTCCAATGGATCTAGACGTTGAAAACAAAGCAAAAACAGGTCAGGATGCTGTGGGTTTCATTACTGGAAGCGGCTCCAGGGTGTTGATCTTTCTGTCTCAGCTCAGAAAAACCAGTAGCTGCCTCTTCAGGAACAAAAACTGCGCATTCTGGTTTTTTCTTAAAACACGACCGAGGTAATGGTGAAAAGTGAGGTGGGATTTGCGGTGCTGGATGCACATTTATGGACTCAGCCATGTTCAAACAAAGCTACACTAAATGGACAGCAAAGTGGACCATAACGAACAAACACAATCATTTAATCTGAAAGTTATTTTCTGGCTAATAGATTAATCATTTGCTCTACAGACAAAAACTCTGCAAATCTAATATTTTGTCACTGCTGGCATCTTCACATACTCACTTTACATGTCTTTAAAAACAAATGGGTGCTTTCACTCAAGAAAAAACTGGGCAACGACAAAGAGTCTGGCAGCTCTTCTCTGCTTTAATTTGGTTTAAACAATTTGTTAATCTGCCCACATCATTTGCTTAAAGAATCATCTTTCTGAGGAAAATAAATGCATTTTGTATTTCGGACTAATAATATCCATAAACTGGAGGAGCTGAGGGGGAGCAAACTGTTTAAAAAGGACGTCCCCTGTACACATACGTTGCATACACTGCATGGGCGTGTATATAATTTTTTTAATGTGTGTCTGACTAAGCTCTCGGCCTCTGCAGCTTCATGACATAGAGCTCCGTGTGGCTGCATGCCAAGTGCTGCTTAGCGACCGAGACACAGTCCTACAACAATAGGGCCAGATCTCAGAAAGGCTGACTTTGCTGGCCGGGGTCACTGCTTGTAACAGCGAGCTGCTGACAGCGAGAACAGAACCCTCAAAATCAAAAGCCTTCTGAAAAGTTTACTTCATGAAGGCACCTGCTATTCTCACCAAAAGAGCTCAACACATGATGAACACACACCAAATTTTTCATATTTGCATGCAGGATAGCAGCTGTACTTCTTCTTTTTAATGCATCGCCAACTTAGCAACAGTGCAACATGTCAAACTGTGCTATTTAGTGTATGCCATTGAGCAACACAGAGCCGTGCCCAGTGAAACCGAGCTTGCATCAGCCCCCCACGCCACACACTTAACAGAGATCTCTGCAGGATTTGAATCCAGCACAATGCTTTCATGTTGAGTTAAAATGTGTGCAGTTCTTAAAAAGGGTTGTGTTATGGTAAGTTAAAGGCTGACACACTTTCAGGATCACAAAGCACAGCTTTGTTGAAACAAACAACATAACTACAGAGGCAGCGTGTTTCTCGGCTGGCAGGTCAGGAACCTGAAATGGGTCAGAAAATAGAACTAACAGGGTCGTTCCTGCTTCAGGAACTGCTATTGCTGACCACTTGGTAAATAAAACTGTCTATTAGATAGAGTAAATGGACCCCAGTTTAATGGAATGGTTTAAGAAAATAATCTTATTACAGTTCCAATGACTTTTCTTTGGCTCTGTATGCAGGAAATCCCTTAACTACTCCGCAAAGTCTAGTGCATGACTGAGTGAGAAGGCAGGTCCTGATATGCATGAGCTGCTGGCCTAAGGCCTTCAGCTTGGCTCATGTGAAAACACCTCCCAAAACGGACACTTATCTACATATTAGTGACATTTTTAAGTGATTTAAATTCCTACTTTGGTGCCACAATTCCTACATGCAGCCCTAATGAAATCCCAACAGAGACAGACTTCAATATAGAAGCTAAAAGTGCAGTGTTATTCTATTATCAAATCTAAAAACCCAAATGAAGGCATGTTATTGTTTGAGCGTATGTTTTAGGTGGAGGTCCTGACTATACATTAGCAAGATTTGTCAAGAAAAGATGCTCAAGAGGACACAGAAAGACTGAAGAAGGACTTTGGACACCTAAGATTGATTAGGAAGGAAAGAAAACCAGGACCTCCTACAGTGCAGCATCTTCATTACTGGAAAGCGGTAATGAAATCCTCCTGGCAAAGTGGGTCATCCGATCAATAAATAATCACAGATGTCTGGTACAGAGTCAAAGGGGATGGCATGTTTTAGCCCTTTTGGATTAGATGAGGTATTTAATATGAAATACCTGTTGCTTTGTGAAAAGATAACCTGGACTTTGTCGGTTTTTTAGTGTGAAATTGTACAGAATTAGAGAGGAGATCTTTAAATTCCAGTTTTAGCAAATTCAATTTTTTTTTTACTTCCCCTTCATCTTAATAGCAAAGATGAAAGCTGCATTTGATGCTACTATAATCCAACACAGTGTATGGCGATGCTAAATTTTTTAATAACTGAGTCTCTGAAATAAAATCCACCTCATATTACTGTTCTTGAAAACACACAAACTGCCCGGGTATTCTGCCTGCTTGCTTAACAGTAAATATAATCCAATGCAGGCTGAAAATAGGTAACTGTTGTTTTGTTAGTTTGGGCTTCTGTGTAAAAACGAGAATTCTACGTGAGGAAAGAAATAAGCTCATCTCATCACTTGTGGCTCCTGTGATCTTAATCAAAGCTCTTTGTGACGAAGGTCATCATATGCCTAATCATCCCAGTATTACTGGCTCTCACCACATCCTCAAACGCTGAGGCTTTTAGGCATCTCACACCTTTCATGTTTCCTATGAGTGGCGTGCAAGCAAGGAGCTTTGAGCTCCCCAGTTGTTTCGTGCTGAGCAGCAGAATCACGTGCGCTTCAAAAGCTCGCAGCTTTTTAAAAAACAGAATCTCTCCCTCCGCCATCGGGCCGAGAAGCAGCGACATGAGGGGGGCTTTAACTTCTTTCAATCATGTGTGCATAAAATCAGAAATTCTAATGCACCGCGCTAGTGTGAACTGAATTTTCCTGCATCTCGAGCCCAGAGCTCACTTTACAGAAAGGTGCTAAGTTCAAGACAACAGTGCCAAAGTCAACTCTGCATTCAAAGAACCCAGAGTCACATCTGCAGTCAGAAAAATAGACACATAACATGATGTGCACTACTGTACTGTCAGTCGGTGGAGTATGGTTAGAGAAACTGCTGAATCTGCACACAAGCAGCTGGAAACAAATAAGACGGAGTAGGGAGAGGTGAGACGTCTTCTTAAATGCAAACGTCGCTGCTCAAGCAAAATATCCAAAAGTCTTCATTTTAGTGCTTAAAAGGATTGATCAATCAGTTATTTATGATTGCCCCTTAACTCTGAGCAGTAGGGCTGTGGGATATGACCAAAATCTCATATCCCGATATAAGAATTCTATCATCCCGATAACGATATAAATCACAAAAATGTAACATTTTCTGTAAATTCTGTGAATCTCGGGCAGCTCGACTTGCGGGAAGTGTTTCCAGCTGCGCGTCGTGTAGCTGGAGTCGAGTGTTTTAACCGATGCATGAAACTACACATTTTTAGACATAAGTTGTAACGGCCGCCGTTTTCTTTGTGAGTATTTATTACAGCCTGTTCTAAAGTTTGAGTCTAAGGTTTATTTTTTAGCACCTGGCGGCTCTTTTTTAATTCTCATCCGTAAATAATCTGCTCTTTCACGTGATTCAGTTTATTTTGAAAAGTCTCAACAGGATCTTGAGCTTTATTGTGAAAGGTTTATGTGGAACATAAACAAGCGGACACGCGATGGTGTCGTTGTTGCTAACAACAACGCATAAAAACAGGCGCTTGTCCGTCCGTAGTGTGGTTATATTACATATAAGAGAAAGAGAGAACTTTAAGAAATTAATATAGACACTACAGTGACCATCAAAACGACGAAAAAAATATTGCCGTAAACAGTTTATTTTGCGA